GATCAATTTATCTCATTGTGAGCTGTACTGGATTCATGGTGTGTTCATGCGAGGTAAAGAAAAAAAAAACAGACAGTAAGAGAAGACAGACAGAACGCAGACCACCACCTGTGGAGCATTGATGAATGAGTACTGAACCGTGCCTGAATGATGAATAGATATGCTCATATATAGCAGCGTATAAAGCTTTAACAATGACGATGATAATGGAATGACTTGTCAAGACGAGTGGCTAGATATACATGTACTGAAGTGGAAAAAGAAAGTGTCTGTTTGATACTTCTTCTTACACACCGCACACAAGTAACGTGCGGTTAATATGATACGAGGCCACAGTGTGGAATATATTATTTAAATGCAGAGCATAAGCCTTAGAGAGATGTTGTGCAACAAATTAATTCTTCGTAATTATTAAAAATAAAGCACTTCTGTGGACGCACAGCTTGTGGGGGGGAATAGGCCATGTTCATATAATGCTAAAAATTTACAGTATGAAAGTGCAAAAGGGGTTTAGGCTCAAGTTTCATCGTTGCTATAAAAATTCATACGCCAGGCACAGAGCCAACCCGTATCCTGCATGTACCGTTTCACCAAACCTTTAGAAAACAGGAAACGGTTTTCACAATAACCATTAAAATCACAGCCCCAAAATATTCAATCAAGTGCCGTGACCGCACTTTTTACATTTGTGCCATATCTTGGTGTGTATTAAAGGATTCACTGGCGCACATCTCATTATGATTTATCCCTTCAACAATCATATAGGAGAAGACTAACGCTGAATGCTATTCGATTGTCTTGACAACAGGACCTGAATGGAATGCTCTACCACCGGAGAAGCTGGACCGAACAATAAAGTGAGACTGAACACTATTACACTGACTGCGGTAGAAGGAATATGTAAAGCCTTACTGCGTGAGTGAGCTGACCTAACCCATGAAAGTCTGCATAGAGGGCACGCCGGGCGGTGTGCACATGAGTGTATACATGAGTTTATACTGTAGTATGCTGACGTCATGACTCTAAGCTCTGCTCCCTCACTCTGAGTAGAGGTGACACAACTTATGAGAAAAGGCACAAGAGATTCACCTTGTTCATAAAATGTACTGTGCATACTGTATGTTCTGCACATGATGCAACATCTTTGTTGTTTGTTTTGTTTTTACTTAGATGGATACTTTTTATTTCTTCCCATAGTTTTGTTATATTTATTGTGTTATAATTTAAATCTCGATTCATACTATTATTAATTTTCTATTTTTTTATCGAGACCCCTAGCAAAAGCATTTCATACCAGTTGTTACGGCCTATATAGTGTGCCTAGGGGTACACTGGAAGTAACATAAAAGGTGATGGAAAACCTTGGCAAAAGTTTAACAAAAACCAAGAGCATAAGGCAGCGCCAATTAGACACATTTATTAACAGTATAGATGAGCAGGGACAAACCAACTAAATAAGGAAGCGTAGCCATCAGGGTCTCTAAGGCCAACATAATAAACAAAACCCCCATGCTAACTGGAAAAGAAGAGGTCAGCTGGCCTATGAACAAACAAACACAATACTGAACTCCCTAACTAGTCACAAAAACAGGAGAAAACTTTTCAAAATAAAAGGCAGATAACCCCTACAAAGCTTCCATTAACCCTCCTGTCGTGCTCGGGTCAAATCTGACCGATTTTACAAATTTAATCAATCATAAATATTGTGTTTTACATCTGATTGCCTCAAGGCCTCATGATATCCTCCACACTAGGCATTTGAACATATCAAATTGCTGATCACCACTTTCATTGAATTTTTAGTGGTTTAGTCAACTTTGTAACACCCATGGTGTTCCTGGTCAAAAGTGACCGCCATAGGAAATGAATGGGAAACACTAGATTATGTCCATTCATCTGATGGAAAACAGCCCTATACACACCCACAACCACCCCCCCTCCCATACACACACACAGACACACACACACACCTGTGTAAACACCTGTTCACAGCCCCATATATAAAGTTGTACACATTTCAAACTTCAAACAAAAAATCAGGTGTTTGTTATGGGAACCCATCTCTATACCGTGCTTATGTGCCCACACCTTCCAGACAAAACAATGTTTCATATCTACTCACTTTCCCCCTAAATAAACCTTTATATATGCCTTGCTCTCATTTTACTCTGTGAGCACAATGAGTAGGCCACTGATGAGGCGATTTTCTGTCAGAGAGGCTCTGGACCTAATTGTTGAACCAGATGAAGTGATTGAACCGGAGATAGAGGAAGATGTCTCGAAAATTGAAGACAACAATGATCCTGATTTCGATCCGGACTATTATGAGACTGACCAGTCAACAGATGGCGAGGAAGTGGCACCAGAGGAACAGGCACCTCAGGTGACATTCCAGTCCAAGGGTGGCAACTTGCTCTGGTATTCATCCTCCCAGGACAGAGGAGGCAGAGCGAGAGTTGAAAACATAATAAGGATGACGCCAGGGCCAACACGATATGCAACATCTCGTGTGGATGACTTCAAGTCCAGTTTCCAACTCTTTTTACCAGAATCCATTGAGGGTGTTATACTGGACATGACAAACCTGGAGGGGAGGCGTGTGTTTGGGGACACATGGAGAGCATTGGATCAGGTAGACCTCCAAGCCGACATGGCTCTGTTGAGGAGTATATCGGTCAAGCAATGATGCTAGAAAAAGTCTGTGGGATGCGGAGTTCGAGAGGCCTATATTCCTGTCAACAATGTCCTTACAACTTGTGGGGGGGAATAGGCCATGTTCATATAATGCTGAAAATTTACAGTATGAAAGTGCAAAAGGGGTTTTGGCTCAAGTTTCATCGTTGCTATAAAAATTCATACGCCAGGCACAGAGCCAACCCGTATCCTGCATGTACCGTTTCACCAAACCTTTAGAAAACAGGAAACGGTTTTCACGATAACCATTAAAATCACAGCCCCAAAATATTCAATCAAGTGCCGTGACCGCACTTTTTACATTTGCGCCATATCTTGGTGTGTATTAAAGGATTCACTGGCGCACATCTCATTATGATTTATCCCTTCAACAATCATATAGGAGAAGACTAACGCTGAATGTTATTCAATTGTCTTGACAACAGGACCTGAATGGAATGCACTGTGTGATTATTGAATGTGTTGCTCAATCAAACTATCCTGACCACATTTATCAAAACAAACGTTTAGATTTGGAACAACCTGCAGTAAACGGCAAAGAACAGGGTGGGCCTCAGTTTCTGGACGGATCCCCAAACCTCTTTACAAGAACCTGATCTCCAGTTTGTCATTAAATCTGATGTCATGAATGAACCAGTTATTGAAGACAGCCTTAGGCAGCTCCGAGGAATTCTTTAAAGTCTCTCTCAGTAATCTACTGAACTCTGTAACAACATTGGAATGTACAGTTCGCTGCCAAGGGTGCAGCATGGTGAAAACTCCCAGAAAGTTCTTAACGCAAGCTTTTGTTTACCAGCTCTGTGTGCAGCGCCAGCTCTGTGTGCGCACCAGCTCTGTGCGCACCGCCAGCTCTGTGTGCGCACCAGCTCTGTGTGCACCGCCAGCTCTGTGCGCAGCGCCAGCTCTGTGCGCAGCGCCAGCAGCTCTGTGTGCGCACCAGCTCTGTGTGCACCGCCAGCTCTGTGTGCACCGCCAGCTCTGTGCGCACCACCAGCTCTGTGCGCACCGCCAGCTCTGTGCGCACCACCAGCTCTGTGCGCAGCACCAGCTCTGTGCGCACCACCAGCTCTGTGCGCACCGCCAGCTCTGTGTGCACCACCATCTTTTAGCATTTAGCTGTATTAGCCCTGTTAGCTGTTAGCTCTGGAAGCCAAACACACCGCAGGACTCTGGCATGCAAATCAAGAGAGGAACAATTTGTAATCTGTTCTCAAGCATACAGCCATAAATGAGCACAAAAATAGTTATGGCTGATGTGTTCAGTACACTAGATCAGCCACGGACAGTCAAGTTTTGTTTTTTTAAACGATGGCCCTCTACAAACACATTCACATGACACATGAGTAGTATCAAACATATGGAAATACACCACAAGGCCTGTGAGGTTTACTAATATCACAATTATTACTTGTTACATCATAACTATAGCATCTTTAAATGTAATCAGCACCATAATAGGACACTCCTTCAAACAGCCGGATGAAGCTGGTTATTGTCTCATGTTTTTGTCTTTTTGATATTTCTGATCAGCTTTGATTAATGTGTTCAAGGACTAAATTAAGTTTCTGGGAAATACACTTATTTAATCCAAGATGTCAGTTTCAATATAATAATGTTAGCTTTCTTGCTGAGAGTTTGCTGAGAGGATTGTTACCACCCTCTGTCCATTCATGCATTACAGTTTTCTCAAGTGATTGACACATGGTTCATCCAATCGCCTGCCAAGTAAAGTGCCTGCCCTTACCCAAACAGCTTCTCAGGTGGGTCTGTGTAAATCATCTGGCGGGTCAGCTTACTTCCCTCTCGGGTTTAATTTCAACTCATTTCACATGATTAATGGGGGGAAAAATGTATTCATTCAAATTTCAGAACTTGGATATTGAATATACTTTTCACCCTTCTTCCGAAACTGTGTAAAGAAGTATTCTGTGATTGTAAATTGTTATGTTTTTATGGTTTTTCAATCTCTCAGGAGGCTTTTGCGCACAGTACATGTGTGTAAAAATGTATGTCCCAAAGAATGTGCTCGTGCATCAGTGTGCATTTATCTCATCTGATCTGCAGTGGATACAACTTCTTCTTTATCTACATGTAGAAAATGACAAAAGTTCAACCCGGATCACGACGGCAGAAATTCCATGAAAGCAAGGCTCCTAGGCTCTGCCTTTCATGCAGCGGTTTGTTTGGGGGCAGGACATAAACAAAGGAGCCACACTCCATTGGCTAAACTCTACCAATATGTTAATGTGGTGTCAAATAAGGTTCAACCTCATTTCAAAACCCAGCACATAAGCTCCAGAGCAAGAGCAAGAGAGAGAGAGAGAAGAACCACGGCCGTCTCCTCCTTTTTCCTTTGACATTGATCTGATGAAACACAGGCAGTGTTTCCAGCCTGTAAGTACATTCTGCTTTGGAACATCCCCCTTTTTTAACATTTGTCGTGTTTGCATTGTATTTGTATTGTTGTTTAATTCAGTGAGAACTTTTACTTATTCATACATCTTTATTTCTGCTCATAGATGGTTCATAATTAGCTGCAGCCCTCTGGCAAAGACGACAGACTTACAGTAACATCTCCAGCCTGAAAATGAGTTGTACAAGGTGAGCTACTGTGCTTTTAATTGAAATCATTTTACTGCAAATACACATGTGAAACATATACTTGTGGCAATAGATGTCATTTTAAACCTCGTCACGTCTTCGTCCTCAGAGTCCTCCATGCCTTTGGGAGTCACCGCCAGCAGGCCGTGAAGCCCGTCGACCTCGCCGTGTGCCTGAGCCTCAGTCGGCATCAACCTCTCTACCAGCAGCTGTCCAAGTCCCCTCTGAAGCTCGCACCGCATCGTCATCAGCCGACCGGCCTTCACCCTCCGCACTCCTCCTCCTCTTCCCCCATCTATTCGTCCTCATCGCTGTCCTCCCCCGTGCCCCCAGAGCCCCGGAGCTGCTTCCGCAGGGATGCCGGCGGCGGTCCGAGCAAGAAGCGCGTGGTCTTCGCCGACGCTAGGGGATTGGCTCTCACTGCCGTGCGGCTGTTTATCCCCGAGCACACCGCTTCTACGCTCACCACGAGACCCTCCCTCGCCAAACTGCAAAGCCACCAGTCGACCTCAGACAAACTGCAGCGCCACAGGGTGTGGTTCACCCCGCCGACACTCGCCTCTCAAGCCTCTCAAGCCTCCCTCTCACGCCAGCGAGACGTGTGCGTGCAGTTGGAGAGCTGCAAGTTTTCGGAGCACTCCTTGAGTGGCAAAGTGCGCGTCAACCATGTCAGCGTCGACAACGCCGTGTATTTGAGGGTGACCTTCGACTCCTGGCGGAGCCACCATGACATTCCCTGCATGTTCCTGGAGCAGCAGCAGCGCTTTGGGGGTTCTGATGGGGACCTTTTTGCCTTTGACTTAAGCTTGCCAAAGAACATAGATCCAACGGAGCATGTGGAGTTCTACGTGGCCTTCAGGCCTGGAAACAGCGCGACTCCACTCTGGGACGACAACAGGGGGCAGAATTACAGGGTGTGCGTGGAAACGGGTGGATCAAATGGTCAACAAGGCAACGCCTACTGTTGTCACCCCACACTGTCACAACATCGGCCACCATTGTGGCTTTTGCACGTGTCCCCCAGCATGCAGAACTCTGCCGATCTGCAGCACTTATAGAGGAGTTTATCAAACAGAGTCAGAACAGACTGGAAAACTTTGTGTTCACCCAAGTGAAATTAAACCCTCTGAACAGAACTTTGAGAACAATAATGTGACTATGTTCATTAATACATATTTAAGAAAGAGTAAGGGCTTTTAGGGATGTGTGGGCATGCTGAAGTGTTGGATGGTCTGAAGCTCTATCCTGCCGAAATGTGACCAATACATGTGGAATGTTGTGATTAAATCCATTTTTTTAAGAAGCTTTTCTTTCTCTTTTCTTCTCTCTGCTGAAGGTAAATCCCAATCATTTAACACATGCCATTTTATAAATATGCAGCTTAAAGTTTAAGCAAAAACATGACACCGAAACACATATATCGGTACACAAAGAGAGGTGATTTCATTGGGAGAACCTTTTAAACTTAGAGCTGCTGACCCAATTGTTCAACTAAATCAGTGGATGTACTTTCACACAGACGTTGTTTCTCTTGGCTCACATTCCCAGTGTTGCATTTTAAGTAGGCATGTCATGCATACCAGAGGGAATAAGTCAACAAAGTAATAGAACTCCTAGACACTCCCCTACCTGCTGTGAAAGGTGCAACGGCACATTAGGAATTGTTACTCCTTGCACTGTTCTTGATGGCAAGTAACATTGGCCGCATCGGCGCCGGCATGTGCTTTGTACAATGGATAATGGTCAAGCCTGTGTTTATACACGCAAAGGGTGGAGTCCTCATTAGATGATGTGGCAGCCGAAGTGAGAGAGTGTCTCTGTCTGCTTTTGACTCCTACTTAGTCACCTCTCTGTCGGACTTGTTTCTTTGTCCCTCACTTTCTTTTCTCACGGGTCAGTGTCCTCCCAGGGCGGCGACTGTAATTTCGCACATGTAGCAGGTTTACCCACCTTGTACCCTGAAGTGGTTATTTATTCCTGAGGCCGGTGTCAGGCGATGGATCCCTCTCCCTTATTCACATCCAAGGAATGATATGCTAGACAGTGCTCAAGCACCAGACATGTTATCATGCACAACTAAACTGATCTACTTCTTCATATAACTACAACCTATCCTCATAGGTTAGTAGTAAAATACTCGTGGATCGTGGAAGCGGTGTTCCTTAAGTAAGCACATTTTGTGACAAGTAAATCATTCTTGTTTTACACGCGGGAGGAATGGTGGTCTCCTCAGTGTAAGACCAGGTTTTTCTTGACCCATCCACCGTCGTTCTTTAGACTTCAGGGTTCATGATTACGGGAATTTCATACAAATTGATCTTGTGGGGTACCTACGAATTACAGTGCATTCATTTTCGTATAGGCATAGCTTTGAATGCTGTATGAGAACATCCCGAGCTGTAAGTTAGTTGTGCCCAATGCAATATCAACAGAGATAAATTACCAAGCCTTTTAGCATACCATAATCTCAAGTGTAATTATGCACAATTCGCATGTTAAAGGTCTTGCCATTCTAATGGCAATCAAGCTTTATCTATTCGAGACACCTCAGGGAGATCAAGACAGCTGTTCAGTCACTCAAAGCAGTAATCACACCAATTAAAAACTATCCCTCAAAGTAGCATGAATATGGGCGTTCCTGATAACTGCAACATACGCTCCAGCCATAGATCATTAAAGTCCCTAAAAGGACTGAGTTTGTTTCACAGTACTTTCAAATAATAAGGTGGAAAAACCAGTATGTCCTGTTTCATTAAGTGTGATTGCTAGCTTGAGTAATACACTGATGATTTGAATGATGTAAGATGGAGGCAAGACCTGATCCTGCCATCTTAAAAATAGTTTGAGTCATCATATTGACATACATGGAATGTAACTTCTGAATTTAACCCATCCCTAGCTTATTGGGAGGAGTGAGCTGTTGAGAAGCGCCCAGGGAGCAGTTAGGGGTTCAGTGTCTTGCTCAGAGACACTTCGGCACAGGACTCGTAGCAGTCAAGGATCAAACCACCGAACTTGCGGTTGCCGGACGACCCTCTCTACCCATTGAGCCATGGCCACCTATACCTTATGCCCATACTTGCATAAGGTATTAGGTTTGAGAAAGGCTTTCGAGGGCTCCAGTATCTATTTAGGTTCTTTGCAATTGTTGTTACTCTCATGTTATCTTTAAGCCAGCAGCAGCCACAGCTGGCTCACTGCCAGCAGCCAGCTACCAGCTGCTGGTGCTTACACAGTGCTGATGCTTAGTGCTGTCTGCACAATAGCCTGAAGACCGATCCAGTGGGCTGCAGCTGGGATCACAAAGAGCAAACAGCGGTGGCTAGCTGACAACAAGACACTAATGCTGCAATGGCCGGTTTTGTTTTTAATTCTGATGCCAAGAGATCTAAAAAAGCAACCAGAATCTCACCTGCAAGCATCAGTTGTGTGTAGCAGCTGAAGAGCACTACAAGAGCAGCTGGAAACAGATTTCTCTTTATGCGTGTTATTTTTTTCAATCTATGGTAAATTGATTACAAATGAACTACATGTGTTGTGTTGTAGATATTCGAAGTTTGAAAGCTTTCAAAGTGACAAAATATGTATTCTAAAGTAGATAAAAAAGCCACTATTTCCGCACAATGACAATAGTAGTAATATTACAAACTGTTAACAAACTTTACTTCCTGACTGATATATAATAAAAATAAAATGCTATAAAATCCTCATTCACACACACAAGAACACAGGAGTGAAACAACAATCCAAAATATCAAGGGTTTTTTAATTTATTATTCCTAAGCCAATTATTTATTTTTAAAGTGCAAAAATTACATGCAATACATGAAACTTTTCTAGAAAGCATACCAGGACATCTAACACGGACAAAACATAAAAGTCTGTGCTGCCGTTTTCATCCTGCAAACTAGGAAAGACATAAGAAGACTGTGGTGCCGTGTGAGGTATTTCAGCACATGGAGGCAACAGTGTCCCATTAATGTGCATGTGTGAATGTATAAGGTGCATGTTGATATACCTAATAAGCCAAAAATCCTCAACAAATTAAAAAAAATGATCCGTCACTATCTCAGCTGTCTTTACTGACAGCGGTCGCTGGGCAGGTGCTCGTGCTCGGGGTTCCAAGGGGATATGCTAAAACACTCGGCGGCCTTCCTGTCGCACTCGCAGATGAACATCTCACACACGTTGTTGTCGTCTGAGGAAGATATAGCAGAGAAGAGAGAGAGAGAGAGCCTCTGTGACTACCAAAATGCCGACAAACATTCCTAGAAATTTAAGAAAGTGACGATAATATCAGTTTGATTATAACCCGATAATGTCTCGGTGTACTCACTGCCACAGGTGACCTTCCTGTTTGTCTCGTCACAGCTGTAGTCGTAGAACTCGGTGTAAGGATTGTCGAGGATGGGCCAGCACTCGGGGTGCTGCATGGCGGCATTGTAGCAAAGGTCATGCACTTGGCAGCACCTACAGGTAAAAAAAATAAGTAAAACAAGATTTGAATCAGACTGGACAAGGTCAATTATCAATTTTTCTGTATGAAGCAAAGTGAGTGGATCAGGACCTATCCAGATCATCCACGGGTGTACCGGAGCCTCCCATTCCGCAGTAGCAGCCGTAGTCGGCGTAGTCGAGGGCTGGCCAGCTGTCGGGCATCAGGCACAGGATCATCTTTCTGAACTGGTTCAGAGCCTTGTATTCCAACGAGTAGGCTGAGGCACGACAAGCAGGCACCAGTCAGAACTCCCAGTTTTACTCTACTCGAAGACGCATCTATTCAAAGCCACCGTGCATGTGGATTGTCGAGTTGTACTCACCAACAGAGAGGCTCGCAGCCAAGAGAAGCAGAGCCCGGAGGGTATTCATCCCGGAAGTCCAGAGGGTTAAGTCAAGTAACTCTCACTCGAATATCAGGCCCCTCTTTTTATATCAAGAGCGAGACCTTGGGAGCTGTCCCGTCAGCTGTTCTTTTTACACAGGGTTGCACGTCAGACAACAAACACAAACCAGCATGTGTAAAAGCAGAAAACAATTCCCACACTCTCCAAACCCTGAGCCCAGTGTTTGAGCTTCTCTCCGGACTAGAGTGGCTCAACCTAACCATGATTGAGGGATCTAAGTGTGGGGGGGGAGGTAGATATACAAACATGGTTACTAGTTATGGTAAAGACTCATTTAAAAGGCTTTGGGTGAGGTAGGTGCTCGATTGGGTGGTTTTCTTCTGTCTGCATAGTGTTTTTGCTCTGATGATGCTCTTGAATTTCAATTTGTAATTCTATGTATTTTGTTTAGCCCAAAACTCACAAATCACAAATTTGCCTCAGAGGACTCTGCAATCTGTACACATCCGACATCCACCGTCCCAGGACCCTCGCATCGGTACAAGAAAAACTCCCCCCCCCCCCCAAAAAAAACAATCAACAGGGAGAAGAAAATAAAGGAAGGGAGAAATGATAATTGTATGTGATACACTCAACAATGCTTTGTGCCGACATGTCACATTCCCGCCTCATGACACCAAAACATGTTACGTGCAATTATGTTGATGTTTTGTTTTAACTGCCTGATTGGAACGTCTTCCGGGCTCTTTCCTTAAAACCTCTTCAGCTCGGGCCCTATTTGTAGGCCTCTGCTCGAAAATGGCATACCCATACTAAGGAGACCACAGTTCTGTAACTACAAGGTCTATTTTAATAATTTTTGATGCTATAATCAGTTATAACACTTGTGAGATTGTTCAGTGGGTAATATCGTGTATATGTTGCTGGTTAATATAGTAAATGAAGACATTACACAGCTCAAATTGAAAATATTCAGGTTCGCCTGAAAAAAAGCACTTTTATTGATATTATGTTTTTGAAATAATGCAGCTGGCTCCCTAAAAACTCTCCTAAATCATAGCACAACCGATCAAGTAGTTGTTGAATAAAGGTTGGCTGGGATACAGTGAAGAATAAGAGGCTTTAGTACAGAGAGGTCACGCGAGGTCGTCATTTTCGAACCAGCTGTTGCAGCTCTTACATTGTACTTTTACTATATATTTCACTTTTTTTATCACTCATATTATTCAATACATCCAAATACAGCCGTTAGAAATCATTTTGAGAGCAAGGATCCTGTCAGAGCATGTTTCTGGCTGTCATTTATAGGATTTTCTCAGTTGATGTGTGTGTATGGGGCTGTAGCTCAGCCTATCATCGGTCGATTTCAGTCAATGAGCCCGCGTTCGAAGCGTCAGTCTCAGGAATGCTGGTGTCAGAGCGGGTGTTGATTGACAGAGTTTTCAGCGAGTAAAGTTGCAAGAAGCGCCGCGTATCCCCGAGCGTAAAATTCCATTGGCCTTTAAGTCTTACCGCTGGCCCGAGGTGGGTTGACCCCTCTTCTACCGGAAACAGCTCGGAAGTAAACAGGATGTAGTTGGCGACCATGATGGTAGCTCTGAACCAGAGCATTTTCGATGTTATTGTACTAATATTTCATAAAACGTGACCAAAAACCAACGATTTTTTCCGGTAGAGGGCAGTGCCATGGCACCGTTGTCCACTCACAGCTTTCTACTGGTTCAACTGACGGAGAGAAAAACCGACGGTATTTATGCGTTCTGTGGTGAATGCTAATGCTAAACGATGTGCGGATTAGCCGGCTAGCTGCTAGCTTCGTGGTGCAAATATTGATTTGTAGTACACATAACAGCGATTTCTGCCCAGGATTTCATGCTTTTATGGCAGATTTTGTAGATGCTTATATTAGTAGTATATAGTTGTGTTTGGAGTGTGTAAGAAGTGACTTATATGATAGTGTTGCCCATACGTTGCTGTTTAATCCGGGAAAAAAACTGTACCAATCCACAATATTACCGAAGAATAAGGCTATTTTCCGAACAATATTTTCAGGGGTGCTGAGCCCGAGAGCCCCCAAATTTGGGGGCGTCATGCTTAAGAACAGACAATTTTTTTGTCAAAACAGCTTCAATAAGCAGAATAGAATGGTTGATGAATAAAGCAGGTGTGTAAAACAGTCTCCACTTGCATTCCTCTGGTTTCATGTGATTTTAATTTTCCATCTCAAATCCTTAATGTTTCTGGGTAAATATAACATGCCAGGTTGAACGGCCCATGCGCCGTGCTCTTTGTTTACTTTTTTTCTTTTAACGCCTCCGGGCTTCCCCATGATAACCCTGTGTTAAACGTCACAACGCTATGAATTGTGGGTAAGTCTCTCAAACAAAGTCTGATGTTAAAGCTTCTGGAAACTGCGCGTAATGGGCTCAGAATGTCTGCTGGAAAGCCCTCAAGAACTTGAAAATGACTGAGGGATGACCCTAAAATGACCTTTTTGCAGACTTTGCGGGAACAAAGTGGGATTGATGAATGTCTTTCATGTGGAGGTGAGCACGGTTGGCATTCAGCTGCAGCAGACAGAGGTGTGGGGACGGCTCATGTGAGTAATGCCAGGTGATTTTATTGGCACAGCTGGTGCTCCGTGACTAATTACATTCTCCTATGAATGCAGCAGTGTGCTGGACCACCAGAAGTGTGTGAGCATTCGTGCAAATAAAACAAATGTCGTGAGGCAACTCCACCGGCAGCACTACATTGTTATTTTCCTTGTCAAAAGTGTAGCAATATTGCCATATATGAAGGGTGAAATGGTCATCAAGCAGACAAGAACTTATTGAATTACTCATCACCATCATGCAGTAGTATTTCAATTGGTTTGGTTCAACTTTCTGTAGAGGCTTTTTCATAATGATGCAATACTCTCCTGCTACTACAGAGATAAACATGAGGACAAATACAGCCTGTAAGTTCATGTTCCGCCATATGTTCAGAGACATGGAAAGTCCCAGACTCAGTGTTCAAAGGCATGTGTGCTGCCCGTTAGCTGTGGAGGAGCAAGTGTCAGAGTTCCCAGAACATCTGTGAATTCACAACAGCGCCCTCTGTAGTAACTTGAAAGAGAGGTCGATCAAACTCTGTTTATTGACAGGATGGCTTCGCCATTTGGAACACAACAGGACTAATTCAGCACACGGAGGGAATGGTTGATGGTTACATGTCTAATACACCAAGGATCCTCAGTAAATTCATCTGTCACTTGTAAAAACTACCAACAACAAAAATGGACATTTTTTGTGTCGAAGTGTGGACTCCTATTGTGATACAGTTGTCTGGTCTTTACTGACAGTGGTCGCTGGGCAGGTGCTCGTGCTCAGGGATCCAAGGTGTTCTGGCAAAACACTCGGCGGCCTTCCTGTCACACTCACAGATGAACATCTCACACTCGTCGTTATTGTCTGGGGGGGGGGAGGTAAAGCAGAGAAAGACTCTGTGATTACCAAAAGACCGACAATCATCCCTATAAATTAGAGAAACTGACCGGCGAGCTCACAAAGAACGGATTGCGGCCACTGATAGCATCGTGAATTGCGCATCATGTTCAACCGCTAAGAGATCTGTATCAGAATATAGGGATCATCAACAATCGGTAATTAGTATCGGCGTCAAAAAACGTGATCAGGGATCTCTAGAAGTCATATTTGCTCCCCTTTTTTTCTTGTGCTGACCCGATCTGTGATCTAATCCGTGATACTATCCGAACCGTGAGTTTTATGATCCACTAGTTATTTCTCATTATCATTTGTTTATTTCACCCCCTCAGACAATAACTAAAAGTAAAGCCATGAAATGGAAACAATGTAAACAAAGCAAATGAACAAGTTAATACAATAAAGAGAGCGGGAGAGTCCCTTTGTCTCGGTGTACTCACTGCCACAGGTGACCTTCCTGTTTGTCTCGTCACAGCTGTAGCTGTACAGCTCGGTGTAAGGATTGTCGAGGATGGGCCAGCACTCGGAGTGCTGCATGGCTGCATTGTAACACTGGTCATGCACTTGGCAGCACCTACAGGTAGAAAAATTAATGAAAAAAGTGTCAAGCAAGTTACATTTCAACACGTTCTCATTCCAACTCGTCACATGCCGACGCTTGGTCGGACCACTTTCCAACGCACTGGGTAAACCAGCGCACGGTCGCAGCAAACACGTGGTTAACGTTGTGAATTCAAGCAAAAAAACTCTTGCTTAGGTTTAGACAACAAAACCACTTAGCTAGGTTAAGGAGAAACATCACGGTTGGCCTTAAAATAAATAGGTAAACAAAGTCAAACGTAACCAAAGTAACATAAGAACAGAAAACCTGTACCTTTAAAAATAACTCAACACTTTGGGACACGAACACCGTTCTCCTGGTTGAAAGTCCTGTGTTTGTTTAAATGTTTTCTCTCTATATTACGTCATCGCACACTAACGCAGCATTTTCTCTGAGCATCTAACAATGAAGCTGATGGGTTTACATTGTAAATACTTAAAAGCCCGGTGCATCTCATACAGAGGCCAAAGGGCTCCTTGTGCGTTGGTATTTGACGCATCATTTGAGTATGAAGCAGAGTGAGTGGATCAGGACCTATCCAGATCATCCACGGGTGTGCCGGAGCCTCCCATTCCGCAGTAACAGCCGTAGTCGGTGTAGTCGAGGGTAGGCCAGCTGTCGGGCATCAGGCACAGGATCATCCTTCTGAACTGGTTCAGAGCCTTGTAGTCCAACGAGTGGGCTGAAGCACAACAAGCAGGCACCAGTCAGAACTTCCATTTACACTCCACTAGAAGTGAATCTATTATTCACAATGCGTGCAGATGAAGAGCTTTGTTGTCAAGTTGTACTCACCAACAGAGAGGCTCGCAGCCAAGAGAAGCAGAGCCTGGAGGGTCTTCATCCTGTATGTCAGGAGGGTCAAGTCAAGCAGCTCTCAGTGATGTGAGGCCCCTCTTTATATGTGCGTATATGTAGTATGGGACCTTTGGACCTGCCCTGTCAGCTGCTCATGCTACTTAATGTACTCTGAGATTTACACACAAACCAGCACATGTGTAAAAGCAGGTAAGCATTCTCACGCTCCCTGAACAGTGCGGCATGATGTTAAGTCTCTGAGCTTCTCTCTAGTATAGAGTGGTTGGGTATCCATGTGGGGGGGCACTAGATACACTAGTATGGTTACAGGTTATAATAAAAACTCATTTAAATGGTTTAAAAAAATACTAGGTTCTGTATGTGCTCTCTGTGTGATTCTTCTAGTCCCTACATAATGTATGAGTTGTGAAAGTGCATCCACTGAAGTATTATGTGCAAATCCAAGCACTTGTACTATACTTGAGTATTTCCTTCTTGTGACAATTCATACTTCCACTCCACCTTAGTTCAGAGGGAAATACTGTGCTTCTTATCCCCACTGCAATTATCTGACAGCTTCACGTAATTAGTTTTACTTAAAAAATGTATTTTTTACAGTACAGCTGAAACGATTAGTCGATCAATCGACTGGCAAGGAATTACCTGAAGAACGATTTCAGTAATAGTTATAAAATACTTTATTTTTAAGACTTTTGCACAATTGGTTGCGTCATTTTGGACTGCGGGTAATTGGTTTGTAATTCTGGAAATAGTGAAAAATGGCATCACAAACTATGAATTCTTTACAAAAGAAATTAAAAAAATCAGCAGATTAATCCATAAATAATCAGTTGCAGCCCTATACAAAATAGTTCAAATGAGCATTCACCCCAACATTGCTTTTACATTAAGGAATGAATAATTCTCTAACAGGGGCTATTTTTTCTGCATCGAGTCCATTTTCCTGATTATACTTTCATACTTATGCTTACGTAGCATTTTCAATGCAAGACTTTTAATAGAGTACCTTTACAGTGTGGTATTAGTACCTTTACTTAAGTAAAGGACCTGAATACTTCCCCCACCACTGCAACATACGATGTCTGTGAATGTCTTCTTTACCTTTTCTGTCCATACATGATCATCAAGCAGGACCACAACATGAAATACCCCCGTGTCCAATCTAGAGATAACCATGGGACCAGATGCAGACATGTTCCGCCATATGTACAGACACATGGAAAATCCCAGACTCCAAGAGCAACCGTGATATGATGAGCACTCAGAGGTCGGGGGCAAAGTCTACAAACACAATGTGTCCTGTACAGAAGCTACGGAGGAGGATGTGTCAGATTTCCCAGCACATCTCTGAACAGTGATGTTTCCTTTTTTAGCTTTTTTTCTAGTTTGTATTCATTCAAAGTTAATGAATACACTAATAATATGGGTAAAACAATACTTTATATGTGGTACGTTTCTACTTACATTTTTCAAACTGAACAGTCTTTTAGTATTTCTCTGTCAAGCGTATTGTTAAAAAACAAGCATAAAGTGTAATGAACCCAATTATAATGATGAACACACTTTTTCATATTCTTTATAACATGACTGTTATGAACATGTAGCGGTCCACAATTCCTTGGGACCTGCTGTCATTTTTCTCTTTTTACCAAATGTTGATGAGCAACGAGGGGGCGTGTCGGCCGGTAAAGCACTTCCTGGAAGGCTGCTCTAGTGGCGTCCTCCTCAGAGATTCCTCCTCGCTCCTAAGAGCTTTGGGACGGCCGTCAATATGGCAGAACAACTTCCGGTTTAAGCGAGGATCGAGGAAATGCCAAATAAGAGACTTGGGATGTGGTCAGAAATACAACAAACCATATGTGACTTTGTAACTTAATCTTTAATACAAATATCTCTCAAAATTGGAAACAAAAATGTACACACCATCAAAAGGTCAACGACATTTTTGATACTGCGATATATTTTCGCATCAATAAATTATTAGTTATTTCTGAGAAAACAGCAGACAAACAAATGGGATGTTTACTGAGGAGATTGTCTGTAGAACGGAAATAATTAACATCACGGTCTAATCTGATAATTGCAATGATACATTGATGTAAATAGAAACCACTTGCTTTTTAACTTAAAGCACATTCCTGTCAGACGTCATGAAATACAAAGACCATTAACGGTACAAACATGAACAACTTACATCTCACATACTTATATAACAGTAGGACTCTGTCAAATGATCCTATTCTCATTCCTTCATCATAGTTCTTCAAGGTAACATGACATGTCTCGTACTGACCCTTATTTCAGTCCAAATATCTTCATTATTCCATTTCCTGCTTTGTCTTTTTTTCTTCCCTCAACCATCTGACACGGACACTGCTACTAAAGATTGTCAATGTTCACTAAGCTGGCGGAAATCAACTGTCTGGTGTGACTGGAATGCATTTAAATTGTATAAAAGAAGGAAAATGGTTGTGATTCAGTGTGAAGACCAGTTCAGAAGGGTCAGCGTTATTCTGCATTGTCGTGCTGCAAGTGTACATACACTGTATGCATATTCTACATCAAAAATAAACCTTTGTTGTCATAGTGCAAAGCTAATAAAATCTCAAAAAAAAAAAAAAAAGCTGCTCTTGTCTAAATCTTGACCACATCACTGCAACTAACTAAAGAAACTTTTTGACAACAAACCACATCATAAACCAAAGTATAAAAAAAAATATTACGACATATTCTGACTAATGATAATGTGTGTGCTTTGCCGTCATCAGTAAATATAACTCCACACGTTCTCAAGATTAACAGGCAAATGAAAACAGTGAACTACTGCAGTGCATTCACTCCTTCCACCTCATTCACATTCTCCATTGTACTGCTGTTGTGTTTTCAATGACACTCTGCAGCTCCCTCCTGCATCTGAGGGCTTTCTGTCACATTATCCCAGCATTTCCAGTAGGGCTGCTGGGCAATATATTGATATTTTTTTCAATGTCGTGATATGATACTAGATATCGTGAAGTGTAGCTGCATGACTTTAAAGTTTGCCTCGGCTCACTTAGTCGTTATATCCACATTACTGATCTCGTGCGTTTTGATTTTTCTCCATACGGCCCAGCCCCACTCCTCACTACATTCCTGTTCGTATTGACCACAGACATGCCGTAATGCCCAGCCTCCACTATTACTGCCTATCTACGTCTACAAAGCAAAGACAGTGTTGTTGACACCTACAGAGGGCAACCGGTGAACAAATAAAGGCAGGTTATGTAGGACTGGAATGACTGAGCGACATTTATCATCCCGAACAGATGTGCACAATAACTGGATATACAGGGAGTGTACAGAATATAATCTCTGAGCTATTATTAGCCATAGCTTGATCTAGGATTCTCATCCAGGACCCCAAATTCACCTGCCGTCTCTACGTTTACGGAAAGAACAGGTGGAGCTGATATTTTGTACACTCAGTGTGCAGTTTTCTGACCGGATGAAAAAGTCGTCAATCAGATGGGCTTGTACAGCAACGTGGTGACGTACTTCTTCTTGTAGCGGTGTGTCGCGCTGAGCACCATCACTCCATCCTGTGACGGGAAAAAGACAACGTGGAGGAAAAATTAACTAAAAAAAAAAAAAACAACTAATCCAAACTAACACATGTGGGCCGATGGGAACAATGTTATCAGTCATCCCCATATGTCGGCACACTGCAACAGCGTAGAGATTAGTGGGAGGGAAGCCCACTAATCTCAACAACCCGCTCCGCTCACTAATCCCCCAATCAACAATGACACAATGTAATGTCTACCACTACGATGTTTTCATAGAGTCACTTAAGCCTCGGTTATTCTTTCCTCAAAGATGGTCCGATGGCACATGAGCCAACGTGATTTTTTTATACTCCCTGCGAGTTTCTCTTCACGGCAAACCAACATACTCAAAGTTCTCCATAGTATCCGCCCATTTGCAGATGCGTCGGCAACGCTAACCTCTCGATGATTGGCTCTTAGTTTTTGACCAAAGTTTTTGTAGAAAATCCAGATTTTTTGTAATTGTGATCTTTAATGCTAGATTGTTTGTCTGTCTCGTGCAATGATGGCTTAATCTAAAAACCTATCTTGTGTGGTTGATAATAAAGGTTATTCATAGAGCACTTATCACGACCAACAGCAAAGTGTTTTACAAGGCAGACATAAAATGAAAAAAAGGGTACAATGCAAAATCTGTACTTTACAAATAAATATAATCCGAACATGGTCTGCAAACTACAAGTAGCCTACAGTGACTTCCTGTATATTCTTTGAAGGCTGCTGGAAACTTGACCGCAGTATTTTCGTCATCGCCCTCTGCTGCCTCCGCCTGATCTCGTCCACTTTCCAGGCGAACGTTGAATGTGCACGTGCGACCTTCGCGCAAGCAAAAATCTGGCTTCTGAGAGAATCATCCGAGTCTCTGGCTGTAAAGCATCTATTTAAGGAAACCAAACACCGCTTGCTGCTTTACAACAAAGTTTCACTGGGCATATAGGAATGTTAGTGTTGTTTTTAAGAGCGACTAGAGAGAAAAACGTGAACCTAACCTTTTTAAAAGGTCTTTAACCAGTAAATCAATGGAGGGCTTTTAATGCGACGCTGATACAGAGGATATTAATGGAGGTTAACAGGTCATTGTAGGAGAAAATGATCTACATTAAAATATGGGTTAGTTTTCGGTGCTTTCTTCTTAATGGATCACTTTTAAAAAAGGTGCTATGAACGAGATCAGGGGATCTCAACATGGTGATGGCTGAGACGGAGGCTCGCAGCTAACAGCGTAAACTATGGCAAAAGAGCTAACGGTGTTTGCCTGAGGGCTAAATTAAGAGCTATGTGAGAAGGGGGAACTTAAACCTCCTGATATGGCAATAAGATAAGCTCTTCTTTTTAGCAGCCTTGTAATCATCGTCTGCATTCCATAGATACAATCTGCTGAGCAAGCTCGCTAACAGCTGCAGCAGCTCACAGTTTCTACTCGAAACGCCAACAAAGCTGGTCCTTTCTCAAGTCTCACCACAGAGAAGTTCTGTCACATTTCAGCAGCCACGTGGTGCTGGAAAGATAGACACAAAAGTGTTTGGTGTGACTCAGTCAGCTTGATTCTTACCTTAATGGAAAGAGCGTAGAGGTGGTTGAGCATGACATGGTTGGGTTCTGGGAGTAGTGCAGGGTCACACTGGATATAAAAAGAAACAGACAAAAGGAGACTTTCTTTAGCTTTGCATGTGCGATATCCTAGCAGAGACGTTGTTTGATGGTTGACAAAAAGGTCTATGACAGGAACTTTGCCTCTCAAAAACTAGATGGTATTTCAAGTTAATACATTTCAAGGATGCGACAGATAAAGCGCGCAAAAAAAAAAAAAAAAAAACGAACAAGAAGTTTATGGAAATGGAAATAATTGCGATTAATGAGCCCCGTTTAACCAACTGCATCACGGCTACTTACAGAAATCCCAGTGTCTTTGTTGAGGATGACCTGCAGCAGGTGAGGTGGGAGGATGGGTGGAGACTTGATCTTCTCTTCCTGTTTAGGAACATATGCGTCCTGATGATACGGCCCGGGAGGAGAGCTGGAGAAGTCTGATGGGGGGTGGAGACGGACATGGTAGATATTCAATCACGTTTAATAATAATAGTGCGTTTTGACATTGTGACCAAAATATTTCATAATAACAGACGAAAAGATGTTTCAGTTCTGTACCGGTTTTGGGGCCCCACCCATCACAGAATGTAACCGGGCAGTCATGAGGAGAGGATGTCCAGCACTCACCTGACATGTCAGAGCATTTCTGCGAGTCCACCATGAGAGCGTCGAATACCTCGAAGTCCGTTTTCCTCACCTGGATGATGTTGTTGACCGTCCCGAGCTGACTGTTCACAACCGGCTGTGAGGAAACGTGAGACGATCAAATTCACAACTAAAGCGCAGAAATATAAACCAGCCAGACGCCATGTAATTTCTAGGGGTGGGGGAAAAAAATCGATACAGCATAGTATCGCGATATTTTGCGTGGCGATATTGTATCGATACACGGACGCCAAGTATCGATCTTTTATTATATAAACTATTCATTAAAATAAAAAAAAATTACTAGAAAAATCAAACCAATTGCTTTTTCAGTCCACTAGATGGTGCCGAGTTGTTTTCTGGTGAGGTCAGCAAAGGTCCCGGGTCAGCGTGATTGGTAGGAAGTTGGTCAAAACAAAGAGACATCTGGCCTCACAACGGGGTTAAATCTGCCAACAGTAGCCAGGCTCATGGGGAGAGTGCAGCGCATAACTGGCTCTCTGCCCTCGACGTCCACGCATCGCAAGTTATACTGAGTTATATAATTCTTATATCCTACTTATATAAGTTATAGTTCATATACTGAGTCCACACATTTGCATTTAGTTAAGTTGGACTATGTAGTAATACAAACAGTGAAACGGTTCAAGCGACATTTATGACATTGTTGGTCAGTCTGTCTGCTTGACAATCCTATTTTGCTGCAATAAAAATTATTGAAGTGAGATGAACAGACTGAAAACTTTATCTTCTTAGATAAAACATGTTGACACAGTTTTCCTTTGGGGACATAATTTGAAGTTGAAAAAAGTAATAAATCGCAATATAGGCCTATGTTATCGCAATACGCAGAATATCGCAGTATCGTGATAATATCGTATCGCGGGACCTCTGGTGATTCCCACCCCTAGTAATTTCTATAATAAATAACCGTTGTTTTAAGGTAACCATCGGTTTACAGGTGACGTATAGTTACAAGAGCAAGAATTTAAACTCAATAAAGTCACTCCCTGCACAATGTGTCACGTTTACTGTTCATGCGATAACTACATTTCCACAGATACAGAACCAGTCTTGTTGTGCAACAGATGCGGTCTCCCTCAGATCACGGCTTGCAGGCAGAATTAATAACAATCTACACTTGCTGGGGTCATATATACTGCTGGTATTACTCGAAACAAACTGCCTGTTATGATTCATAATGTAATACTGACCTCAGCTGGGTCGTGGGTCCACTGGCCGTCCACGTAGAACTTGTACTGATGCTCCCCTTCTGGCAGATCAACAATGGCCACGAAGGTGTTCTGACTTTGACACAGATGACAAAGAGGAAACATTTGGCACACAAATTGAGTTAACAGTACGAGAAAGCACTAACTACCCAACCTTTAAACAAAAACTAAAAGGGACGACTTAAAGCAAACCAATCCTGCAGTCACGAGTAATCACACTACTTCATCTCTGGCACTGCCGTGACATACTCATAGTTTTTACAAATCTGCTACTTTTGTGATGCATTCATGTATTTTGTTGTATTGTACATTTAAATTGAGGTGGAAACTGAGTAATTGACTAATGTGCACTGTCCCTGGTAAATAAATAAAGAAAATTAACTAGTAACTAATATAGAATTATAACCACACAGTTTAGGACGGCCCTTCACCTTCGTATGAGAGGAATCTTGTTGACCCAGTTGTTGAAGGATCCGGAGAGGTAGACCTCCCTGCCATCTCCAGTCCAGCGAAAGACTGTTGGTCGGTCTAGAGTTGGCGCTTTGTCATCTACTTCCAAGTCATGCTGCCAGGCGAGGAACTCCTCTTTCTCTAACGGAGCCTAAAACAACCGCCAAGTAACCGCCATTAATTCACCTCGTGCAAAAATGGCCATGACCTTGTCAGAAACTCACGACCGGTCTCTGAGACGGGCGGCACAACTTACCTTCATGTCATCGCCGTGAAAAATATCTGCATCGTCGGGGCTGTCCATCAGGATTTTTGGCCCCCCTCCCTCCTTGGCACCTCGGCTGTCCCTCCGCTGGGCCTTGTCCCCATGGCCCATGGCAGCCCTCTCACTGCTTGTATTCCCCATGGCTGTGTCTTGTTGTAGGCTGGTACAAGGTCACTGTGAGGAAAAAAAAGCCGGCCAGCAGCTCAGAAAAGACTGAGCTGAGAAGACTTTTTTTTCTTAAAAAGAAAAAAAAAGGTAATTAATCAATAGCTGCTACCGGAGTGCTGGCGACACAAGTTGCTGTTTAAGACCTCATCACTCAAATGACAAAGATAAAAAAAAAAATTTAAAAAAAGTACACCTTAGGCGCTAACGCTCTTATCTGGAATGATTTACTATGTGCTTCAGCAGAAGAAGTTAACTCAAACGTGCAGCAAATCACAAGCAGCAGCGGGTCGGAGCCATGGAGGAGGACTTGACAGGCTTATGATTTGTACCACTTCAGAGAGAGACACGGCTCTCTTTACAGCACCACATCATCTGACAGCTGGCTTTATAAACATGTTCATGAAACAATCCCTGCAACTGGGAACTGAATAGCCGTGGACAAGTAATATTTCAACGCACCACCTGGGGGCCAAAATGATCCTCGCATAAAATGTATTCCAGCATGAAACCTTTTCTTTAAAAAGGGGCCAATGTTTTGCTGGATACTCTATTGACTATCTGTCACATTTTTCACATTAGTATTACTACATTTTCGACTCTCAATAAGCAATCTGCACTGCCGGTTGAATAAGTAAGCAATGGTAACATAACCTTGACCAAAAAAAAAAAGGGGGGGGATGATATGACATTTACAGCAATGGATCACCTATTCTCAGGATGTTTCAAATCCAGTTCCACGCCTCTGTGTAGCGCGAGGAAACCAACGACCAGAGGTGACTTTGAAAACCTCTGCCGACGTTGTTTAAAACTGCAGAGTGTACATTTTAAGAGTAACATAAAGTAGTTTCCTACCACCGTTGTTGAGACATTCCTTGGTAATCATCATGTGATTACTGTATGTGTCACTAATACATGAACTCAGTTTAAGGCGACAGAAAAATATTGTAAGTATTTAGTGTCTGAAGGTTGGTGATTGATTGCACAAATAGGGTTTTTCTGGTTAAATACAAACAAAATATATAATCTGATAATTCCCTGTCAGTGTCTGGTCATAACAAAAAGTATCAACAGTTTACTGCGAGATTTTATATTATAATAACTTGGGTAGCTACTAATACAAGTCGATATTCCTGAGTTTTGCTTTTACTGCATTAGGTTGAGGGGAGTTTGAGTTATTTTTCACTGCATGACAGTATCACGATTATGAGTAAAGTGACGTTTTAAGCACTCGTCATCTGTAAATATTAGTTAGTGTGATGACATTAAACCGGGTATTGTGCAGCTCATAGATAACTGTTATAAGCACAACAGCAGTTCTTCAGACGACTCCATGTCAAGTTGACTAACGTTAAGTGCAAACACGTTGACATTAGCCACCGGGCTAACGTTACGTTAGCTCATGTTTAAACCTGACGTGCAAGAAAATAAGCGCCATTACTATCTCTTGTAGAGTTCTAGTGGGAACCGGGCAGGTAACGTTTGAGCCAATAGTAGCAGAGTAGCAATTAGAGGTAACCTCACCGTCACGGTTTACTGAAGCTAACAGTAGTTAGCAGCTAGCCTCGGTGTGCTGCGTAGCCGGTTGGACGTCCTCAGAACTCATATTGTGCTACTGGCTGCTACATAGAAGTGATGGCGGTTCAAACACTGAACGCACGGAGTATAAATGCAGACATTGGTGTTGCTTTTTACCTGACAAGCGTTTGCCGTCGTAGGCGTCCGTGTTAGCTCATCTGACCCATTTCTTAAGGGAAGAAAACAAAACATTTGGTCATGCTAAAGAAACCCGCCCCCCTCGGTTCGCGCACGCGCAGAAGATCAGACATTAAAATAGGATACACTTGATTGAAAACTACCGAATAAAACTACTCAATATAGCATAATATTCCACCCACATGCACGTATTGTTGTTTAAACCTATATGTGTCAGTGTTAGTATTTTGTCATCATAATAATATTTTAAAGGCCACAGACCAGTGTGATGTAATTTTATGTTTTCAACACTAGATGGAAGCATGAGCTTTATGAAAATACTGATCTGTCTGCATTTAGTGAGCTGATAAAAGGTTGAGCCTTACTTTCTAATGTTTTTTTCTGTAAAAACTGATGTACTTTAAGGGATATTGTATAAAATGCAACTACTAGAAATAGCGTATATTTTAATTAATCAGGTGACCTGTGCAACACCAAAAATGGGAACAACAAAGACAGACAAAAAAAAATGAGTCAGGAAAATTGTCAATGCAGGTAGATATTATTTCAGGGCATAGGCCATCAGAATATATTGGCTTAGCAAGATAAAGACATTGACCGAGGCTGTAGCTACATTAGGTATTACGTAGACCTACATGTAGCATATTACAACGTGCATCATTAGTAATGAGAAAAGATAATTTCATATTAAGATTTGCAGTTCTTAATGTCATGCCACTGATTTATGATGGCGACAGTACCTTCAGCTGAATCTAGGCTACGGATAAAAAAAAGAAAAGAAAACTCAACAGCTTTGTGCAGTTCTTGACATTTACCGTCAGATGGTTCTTGGATGAATCATGTGCAGTGAGGGAGAGCGACTCTCCATTCACACAAAAGGTCTTCAAGTGACCTTCGAACTACAATGGTCCAGCTGTAACAATGCCTTTTTATAACCTTCAAAACTTCAAGGCCCCACTTTGTTTCCTGTGAGCTCTGTGATGCCTAAAATACCCTACTCCGTGGAGATAAGATGATGTAGCACATCGCTAATTCTTAAATCAGGCAGCCCAATCTGATCCTAAATCAGTGCCAAACGTCACGCAGCTGCTGTAGTCCCAATTGCCTTGAGCAGTGTTGTTGTGCCACAATGTGCCAAAATGGCCCCAGTTTGTCAATGTTCTTATCTCGTATCATTTTGCATTTTTTGGTTCATTTTTTAGGGGCCTAACGCATGCAATACAAGCTGAACATTTTAAACAGTATAGCTGTTGGTGTATGTCCTCTTTTTTTTTGGGGCACCTTCTCCTACAGTATTTTCTTTTTGTAGGGTCATGATAAGCTGCGACAAAAGCCAAAACAGCGTATTTTCCTCTTTTGTTTTTGTCCCCTCGCCACTGTGCGCTAACTGCACCAATTATCTTTCACATGAACAGCCATCCGACATCCTTCAGACACAGAGTTAGGGGGTTGCACAAAATGAGGAGCTAAATAAATGAAGAAAGAAAATGTGTCCAGCAGAGATGTGTGAACTGAAGGGAGGTTAGATTCCACTGGACCATTTCAAAACACAAGAATCTACATGTGGCAAGGCCCTATTATCTACAATGTCGCAGCAGACGCAGTCCCGAATTGTCACAGTTGCATGCAGTACACAGATTTCACTCCACACCGGGTGTTCAATTACATGGATTTCATTTTTCCCTCCACAGCCTTTATGCCTCGTAATAACCAGCTTATTTTGTCGGTTTCTTTTCAGATGGCTTCTCATCTGCAAGGAAATATTATTGAGACATGTGAACGCAAGAAGACTGTTATTGTGTGATGAAAATAATTGATATGTGCATGTTTTTGTGCAGATAGAGCAGAGGAGGGATATGTGCCACACAGCATTTTAATTGGAGCATTTCAGTATTTCATGAAATTTTTTTTTTTTTTCAAAGGAGGTATTTGCACATCAAACTGGTGCGTTGGAATGCATCATTTAAGTCCTGCACAGTCCTCTTGCTCAGCATCACAATTTTGTAATCATGCTAACATTTCGGTCCCCTCTCGACACTTTTTTGTCAAGAGCGCTTATCAAATGAGTCCTAAAAATCTAAAAAGCCAGGCCTGTTAGACGGCCGTCCTGCAACCCGACGGCTGTGGCTGTAATTGGCAGCACGACAGCTGAGGAGACTGAGTGGGCTCCAAGGAAGAAGTTGGCCTGGTTGGAGGTGGGCTGTGATGTCTTCGCCTGCGAGTGGAGGCAGATCTAAAAATGGATCGGAGAGATGGTGTGGTGTGTTGTTAGTTTTGATGTGTTGAAAATCAGTTGGCAAACAAGGACTGAGGCTGGAGGGGGTTAACCCTGATCCCTGGTCATCTCCTGATCTCTATTTTATTATCATTATTATAAGATATTTAGAATTTCCTTTTTCATAACAACACCTTCAATGTTCACTTTGATAGAATTTCCCTCCAAAACGCCAAAAGCTAAAGCCCAAACTGGGAGCGCTCATAGAAATCCTGCATTGGCCAACAGACCTGCCGATGAACTCCGCGGTGTGAGTGACGGGCTGACATTTTGCCGCGGCTCCATTCTGGCGCCCTTTCCCCAGAGCCATGACCACACTGCCACTGTTGTTTACCACAAGTCATCCATGCTGAGTGAAGTCATCACACAGCAGCAGCAGCCGCAGCACCTCAGCCAGCAGCTGGCCCTGATAGACTCTCTGTAGGACAAGCCAGATAACCTTTTATACTGAGTTACTCTGGATTACACATGGGAGGGGGGGGGGGGGACTCACAAAGTCACACTTGTTGCCTTAACACCCTTACAGACCCACAATCTTTGCGTGATGCAAAAAACTTGTCACGCTTGTGTTCATGCAATTTTTATGAAACATTGAATAAAAACCTGTTTCTTTAAAGTGCTGAAATTGAAACATTATGGAATACAAAAATCTTCTTTTCCAGGCTTAAAGGAAAAAAGGTTATTATCCCCAAACATTAAATGAAAACCAATAACAATACTGTCTGACTTCCCCTCCCTGTTTGTAGCCAAGGCTCATTGGTTCCTACCAAAATAAAATGTAATAAACATTCTCATTTCATAATCAAAAAAGGCTCAGTCAGTTTTTAGAATTATGGGCACTGCAGTTTAAGCATTAATCAAACAGTAGTTAATTGTGCATTTCTTGTGGACTATTTTCTGAGGGGGATTAATACACGTTCAGCGTTCTCCCGAGTATTTATAGAAGCTAAACAATGTATGTTTGACTGATATAAAAACTACAGTGCCCATGTTTGTAATGCTGGAACAGGTCAACTAGTGCAACACTGCCTCATAGATGTGTTTATGGCACAGAGGATTAAGCTGCGTCACAATTTGGACAATACTCGTTCGGGTCGATTGATGGTTGGTTTTGGTCTCATAATGGGATTTGATCACCATTAGAAAAAATACAAAATAATGCCAGCCTCAACCTTCAGGTAAAATCCTGAAAATCTGGCATATATACGGTGTATATGGGATTTCAAAACATCTCTTTCATTTTGTCTGTGAGTTTCACACTTCTTGCTTCAAAACTTGATCAGTCAAGTGATCTTACATCTTGTCTAGATTTACTATGGTCTACTAAAAGTTTAAATTAACTGCAACAACATTGCTGAATGAATAGTTCCACTGACACCTCCATCAAACCGAGTTATACGCACAAGTGCAGCTGACTTACATCTCTGTGTAAAACTCTGTTGTACACAATATAAGAACTGCCTTCTCTTTTGTCGCAATCAATACGCCTTAGGTTAAAGCTGTCCAAGGTTGAATTCCACTCTTTTATCAAAGAAAGAGTCGTCTTTACACCCTGTCATAACATGTGCAAGCAAGTATAAAATGGATTGTGAAAGTGGGTGCACTTTAAAAAAATGTTTTCAGAAATGTCTGTATTCAAAACAAAAAAAACTAGAAAGGTGCACTTAATAAAGTGCAGATCTCTGAGAGGTGTGTCTTCAACGGCCGCTGCTGTATTGTTGGCTAACCCCCCGTTTACACTCTGATGGGCTATAAGGGATTGTAAAACACACTTTATTCAAACTCAAAAACAAGCAGTGATGTATGCAGTCAATTGTCTCAAACTCGACGTATAAGACATTTCAAGTGACTTACAAGTGGCAATGTACTCAGCAGTGTGAGTGACGGCAACCATGAGAGGTCCTTGAGTATGCAGCCATAACTGGCCACCCGAAATATTCAGCAGTTTGCTGCAGCAGAATGGGAGATTAGACATGGACAGACACAGAGGCGCACACTCACACACACGACCAATCGCATGATCCTTGTGGCGGACATAGATATTGAAAATGAGATTTGATTCCAAAACATCTTGAAAGAAGTCAATCTCAATTGGTTACATTTGCAAACATTGGCAAATGTATTCATTTGTTTTAGACTGGAAAAAAATATTTTCTCTTTTTTTTTAAATATATATATATATATATATATATATATATATATATATATATATAGTATATATATATATATATATATACAACTTTTCTTTGGTAGACATAAAGACTTGATCCTAAGTTGAGTATCCCAAATGACATGAAGGCTGCATCACAGGGCTTTAAACAATATTTCTCATTAGCCCGGTAATTTGTGAGGCTACTTGGGTGGGACAACCTTGGACTAATTCAGAGCTCAAGTTTCCCGTTTGACTCAGCATTTAATGCAGCCATTAGCCCGGTCAACAACACCATGATTGAATCAGTTATGAAATAATTAGATAAGATCCTCATCTAAATGATTTCTCTCCCACACACACTCTCTCTCACTTTGTGTCCTTTCATCTCTTTCCTGTTTTGTCTCTGTGTCTTTCTCTCTATTTCTACTGTGTGTGTTGTTCTCTCTCCCATTCTTACTGTGCGACCTTCAGTTTAGCATTTCCGGAGATGCTACTGACATTGTATTTTTGTTTTACTTACAGATAAAAAAGAAAAATGAGACAAGCTTCGAGGCAGAAGAGCCTTTACGACTCCATTGTCGGACTACTACTAAATTCTGGACAAGCAGGAAGGCAATCCAGGCACTCCAAAATATAAAAACAAGTAACCACGAGGAAGGAAATATTTAGTAAGCCTTTTTTGTAGTGGCTAAATCATCAAAAGACAACATGCTTTAACCACTTCAGGTCTTCCTTAGGGCTAGTAACAAACAGACAACACGAGTATTGGACTCACATTTATAGAGTTACAATGGGGGGCAATCACATGACCCGGATAATAACATGAAGGTGAAATAAATAAAAAATAATGAAAACACACGAACGGAACATGAGAAGAGGTTAAGAAGAATTTTTGTTTTTTTTATACATCATACGTGGACAACACATTCTCGCCCCAATGCATGAAATACCCCAGTTTGTTCAGTGCTCCTAAGCTTCAAACTATGACGCTCTATGAACCCCTTTAGCGTTAGTTTGGACGTGTCAGGGAAGGCGTGTCAATAAACACTTGTTACACGCAGAGGGCCTTTTCAAAATAAACTTTCACCTTCACAGTTAGTTAGGTTGAGCAAAATAGGGTGGTTGACATAACTTGACTAAACCTCACGTGACTAACTAGGGACAAACGAGTCACGTGACTAGCAACTCATGTAAGTCCCACGGCTAACGACACCAATGACTTACGTGACAAACGACTCACTTGACTAATGACTGACATCAAAATTCATTGAGAATTCGAAAATTAGTTTTGCACAGGAAACATACAGTGGTCTCCTGGATGAAAGTCCAGTGTTTGCTTGACACATCTACTGTCGTCCCACCCACCTTGTGTGGACTAGTAGTAGAGTGCAGCGATGACGTATTTTTGTAGGCCAACCCCGTAAATTAGCATCATACTGGTTCCCTTTACAAAAAGCCAAAGGGGTTTTTCCATCGGATTTTGGATTATTGCATAAAAATAAACTCTGTGGCAAACACAAGCTTTTAAGGATATTTACATGTTTTCTTCAGTAAGATAATCTTCTCAAATGAACACTACTTTTATGGTCTTTGAAGCATAAATGCAATTTACAGAAGTAAAAACTAATGTTGGCTGTAAACAAACTACACCACGGTTGTATGAACGCAAGTACAGACAAAGTGGCTGTGAAGGCAAACTAGTTTGAGTGATGAAGTTTAGCCACTTGTTAGCTTTGGCTTTTTTTAGGACACGTAAAAGCTTTAAGTTTCACAAGATGGGTATATACCTACTTTTTTTTTTATCATAGAACAAATCATTGAAATCTTTTAAGCTTATGTTGACCGCAAACCTTATTCTATCTAACCAAATACACAGAAAAAAACTCATTGACTTCGAGACGAGGGAACCGGAAGTGCAAAAATGCTGACTCATTTCAAGGTTTAAGGACTCATTCCTGCAGCACTATGTAAGGTGCGTTTCATAGCGTATTTGTCGCATTGGGATTGAGAATGAGTTGACATGGAAGATAGGTATCCACATATAGGTTTTAATACAGGCTGTTGTAAAAATGGAAAGAATATGGAGTCTATGTCCTCGTTGACACCTCAGTCGATGGATCCAAAAAAACTTTGGTTAAGTGTCTGTATTCTGTCCCTCAGTTTCTGTCCACCTCTCTCTGGCAAACCCCCTAGTGAGAAGGTGACCTCTTGGCAGTACGAAATCGATCCTTCATTTTTATTGCAGGCAGGTGAAAGGTCCAGTGGCCATGATGCCTCTCTAGAGCTCTCCTCTTTGATGTAAACTTGAGCAAACAATCAGCTCCTGTCCGCTCTACCAGTGCCATTCCTGACTGTCCCTGTGCTACGACCCTCTTGGCATTCAATCTCAAACGTACGGAACGCGTTTTGCGATTGTAAGTGTAAGGTAAGCCCTGTGCCCGCTGTGGAATGTATAATTGTGCAATGACACTGGATGAAGCAGCAGTTGTAAGCTGTTTTCTGCTCCATCCTTTTGGAATAATGAGCAGAGGGCAATCACGTTGAGGGAGCTGATAACTGGCAGTATTCTAAACCAGTTTAAATGCAATGCTACTTTATAGCCACTGTAATCGCACGTTTTCTAAATATTTTAAATCAGACTAGAATAAAAGAATAAAATAGGCAATAGAGTCGAACAAAGTAGCACAAAATCAAAATATTTACAAGTAAGACCAATGATACAGTACAACGTATAGTACATGTGTGACATGCAGCGCTGAGGTTTATGATAAAAGCCGTTTATTCACGATGATGTGTAGAGGATGCGGTGGATGTGAGGAGTCCCGCAGCCTGAGGAAAGAAGCTGCTCTGTATTCTGCTCAGCAGCGGATACCGCTGTATCTCTTGCCAGATGGCAGCCGGGTGAACAGGCTGTGGATGGGAGAGGCATCGGCTTTAAGCATCCTTTGGGCTCATCTGAGCGCTATCACTGGTGCTCGGTATATGGGTACCAATGGTGTCCTGGGCAGCTCTAAAGGCACGCTGCAGAGCCGTGCTCATCCCAAGCCATATTTGTTGTGTTTTTGGTAAGGACGCTTTCTATTGCTACCCTACAAAAGTTAATAACAAGGGGATTTTTGCCTCTTAAGGAGCCTTTGCTGAGCCTTTATTTATTTTACTAGAGTGAATATGTGTGATGGCCGTGACAGGTCCTTTATATGTAATATTACACACGTTTGCCTAATTTTCACATGTATTGTTTGTGGGAAAAATATCCTTATTAATATTTTGGTTTCTTTTTTTGGTTGGCATTGGAGTTTTAAAAAAAGGAGAAAAGAAAGAAACCCAAGATTCTCAAGGAGGTCAAATGCCATGCATTTATTTCAGCACTGTGACATATCCCTCAGACAATCAAGATTCATGTCATAACCATACTTTATTTAATAATAGGACATAGACCCGTCATTACATGGCATAAACAATACATGAAGTTCTACTGGTTACAGCACGTTTCCAGTGATTCTACAGGCAGTTTTCATGTGCATTTTAAATTATTGTATAACCTGTAACATTATAGAATCCCAACCACGTTTTTTCCATTAACATGTCTTATTTTTAACAGTGCTTCCTGTATTAACAAAGGACAAACTCTTGCGCCAGATCACCCATTGTCTTTCAGCAATTTTGCTGACAGTTATTATGTCACACAGCAGCCCATCCACTTCCCCGTTCCCACAGTGCAAATAAGGACACTACAAGAGGAGGGCGGATGTTCCCACCTTGTCAAAGTGCAGCTCTGAGCGCAATGGGAACCAAATCTACTATATGGCAGTATATGCACGTCTTTTACCCGGGTTAGCTTTCGTTAACGTTCACGTCCCCTTTTTTTTCACGGTTAGTACTTCGGAAGAACATAGACTCTTGGATGAGGCTGGGGATAAACAGAGGATACATCGGAGGATACAGGAATAAATACAGCTTTATTTTGATGCATAATAATAATTTATACCAGCGTGATTAGCAGTTCTTCATATAATATCAGCTATGCGGACAGCTTTTCATTCCCATTTTGGTATACGTTCAGAGAATGGCAGCTGCGGGGTTAATCTCCACCCCAGAAGTCTTGTCAAACACTACCAATAATGAATTTGCATGTGCCTCTTGTGTAGTGTGATTAACAATTTTGATGGTGAATAACACAATCCCATTACAGCAGCAAGGAACTATTATTAGGGCACGATGAGGCCCGAGGGAATGAATAATTGAAACAGTAACAGCCTGTCACGCTGACGTTCCCGCATGGAAAGAGGGGTGTTATGCAGCTGGAGGGCCAAACAGTGTGTGGTATTCGTATAGTGCGAGCATCCTGGGAGCTTGGATTTGTACGCGCGATCGCTACACTCAACATTTTCCAAATTGACCGACGGGTTGTTCTCTTCCCCGTCCCATTTATCCCTCACATTTTGTCTGAAGTATTTTGTTGGTGTCGTGGACCTGTGATGGCTTCTGTCGCTTGCGTCGCCGGTGTGTCAATCAGCGGGGCGTGTTGTCGGGTGTAGTTGGGTTGGGGGGTGACGCAGAGGAGGGAGAGGTTCCGTCGATGCCTTGATCCACTGTCTCTCAGTGCTTCATCCAGTTTGCTCAGTTGCTCTTCGCTTATCAGCGCGTCTATCTTCCTCCACTCGTCTGTAGACTATAGGGTACACCTTCCATCTCTCTCTCTCTCTCCCCCTCTCTCTCTCTGCTGGGGTGCAGTGGAGGATCCTGGACTATAGAGGCACACGGATGTGCATGGCAGAACTATTGGGCCGCGCAGCCAATAGGTAGATGGCACTCTCCTTTAAAAAGTCTGCCCAGGTCACTGGCCTGTTGGATGAAGAGAGTTTTTATTCATTTACAACAACAACAGAACAACAGAGAAAAGGCTGTTTGTTTGACTATAGTTTATACTGTCAATATGTTGCGTTCTGTCAAAAGAGAAAAAGACTAAAACTAACAATGAATTGAATCTACTACCAAGTATGGCGTCTGTAGCCAAAGCCAATCTTCCTTCTATGTGTCATTGAGCTCCATTTTGCCGAAACTATTAAAAATGAATCAGTGATTAAGTTTACATGCGCACTCATGTTCCACTATTATTCAGAATATGACAATATTCCGTTTGGATATTCTTAATTAGGCCTTATTCCAAATGGAGTATTTTCGCCAAAAATATTCGACTTTCAGGTGCATTTCTTTGGACATGTACACAGCACATTTGGAATATGCTTGTCAATAGTGTTCTGTACTTTGCGACACGTGGCCTCTTTTCTGTTTACGACCAGCTCTGTGTGTTGAACACTAACCAACCAAACAATAGTTTAAAAGCTGCAGTAGAGCTGCTTGGCCAAAAGAAAAGCCCACATTTCTGGTCGGAAAGAGAAACACATTTTAAGCATTATGAAGGACTTGGATACCAACAGGTTTTTGGATATGCGCAAATATCGCTATGCCAACCTTTTCAAGAAGGTGGTTGAAGAAATGAAAGAGGGAGGATGTGTTCACACGGTCCAACAAAATATTAATATTCATCAGCCATGGACACAACTTATTAGGAATATTTTCTTTTTCAAAATGAGGGCCGAAAACTATATTTAGTGCATGTAAACGTAGTTGATGAGCCACATTGTTGCACTTGATGAGATGTTTCCTTTATAACAATGAACATGTGTACTGTAGCTTATGTTGAGTCAATCCTATACACCATCCAGGTGCCAATACACTCAATATATTGCACCAAATGTGTATTTATCTGCTGGTAAAATTGTCCGCTAAAAAAGCATTGATTACTCGGGTTAGAGCAATATTTGCTGAAAACTACAGTGCCCAGCTGTATTAAGAAATTAGCTAGGTTTTTGTTTTTTTCCAATGAAAAAAAATATCAGTGACCCTGTTTTTAATGATGTAAAAAAAAAGGATTTGTCTTCATGATCTGGCGACTCTGAATCAGAGTTCCAGGTTATTTGGAGGGACGGCGAAGCCTGAAGCAGGAAAGTCGCCGCCGTCCGTGCTGCAGTCTTCTAGGTTGTTTGGCTCAAAATCAATCTCACTTTTTCTGCCCACAAAATGCTCACTGTCTTTGAACAGCTTGGAACGCTGCGGGGACATCACGCAGCTTTTGTTTGGCGGGTCTGGTGGGAAAAAGCCTATTCTGCTAGGGTTAACAAGTTCATGTAAATTTCAAAGCTGAAGGGAGACAGCAGGCCTGTGAAGCCTGTTAGACGCAAGAGCCGTGAGAGGAGAGCTTCACCAAATTGTTATTCAATGCAAGGCTGTAATCGGGTGGAAACCTCCGGGTCTGAAAAGTGAAGCTAATGCGGAGGCATCTTCAACCTGCATACTTTCTAATGGCCTTGAGGGGGCGATTTCTCTGGTTGCAAAATTATGTCTGGTTGTATAGAAGTCTATGAGAAAATGACTCTACTTCTCACTTGATTTATTACCTCAGTAAACATTGTAAACATAAGTTTATAGTCTCAGTGGTTGGTTTCAAGTCGTCTTCAGTCCAGCATGATGTTCATTATGTAAATTATTGTCCAATTCAGAATAAAATAAATAATAAATCAGAGTATGCTTTAGGGCGTGGCTACCACGGACATGTCCTTGTTTTTGTGTTTCAACTTTTACCCTTTCAGTTTGCTTTCAGTTCATGTAAGTTCATTGTAACATTTTGCATTTGATTGTACTTAGCTCAACCCTCTGGTTCCAAAAAACAAAGATGGCGATGGTCAAAATGCCGAACTCGGTGGTGTCATGGTGACTACGTCTACTTCTTATACACCGTCTATGTCTGTCATATTGTAATTTCTATCAATTGTATTCTGAATCACACACACTCATTAACACACTTAAAATATAAGAGGACAAACCTGCTGTCATCAGTCTTGCTCCTTTCACTGCCAGAGCTGGCTGGACTGCTCTCGCACATGGGGCCAACATGACTGATGCTGCACAAAGGACAGAAAAGTACCAGTCAGAGAGAAGGCTACAAGAACAGTCAATGACAAGATAAGACCTTCCTTGCTCTGAAAAAAAGGGAAGAACAAGGGAATGCACCATGCAAACTTTTTGAACAAGTGAAGACCGATAGTGACTTTAATGAAACATAAGGGCATTTTCTGATCCACAGCCGTAATTCCTACATTTAAATAATACTTATTTGGATGGGATATTGGTAAGCCCAAAGAGTTAGTCAGTACTTCATAATATTTAGAGGAATCTGAGTTGCAGAAAGAAGCAGACAAGTCGCCACTTGTAACACCTTGTAAAACACTGTACTGTGTGAGAAGGATTCAAGTTTAAAGTTTGAAGGATTTTACTTTCTGAGTTCTCTTGTCCAAGAGATTGTGTAGAACTGGTTATGTGTTGAAAATACAGTCATCAGATGGCAATAAAATCAACAAAATTCGGTCCAGTTATAACAGACGGCAAGAAGTCTTGTCTGGACTGTACCGCCATCAGCTGCTCCAACAGTTAACTTCAACTTTGTAGAAATTGGAAAGTAAAAGTCACAAGTCTCTGATCCAAAAAAACAAATTTAACTCCCATAAATCTCCATAAAACTCTCATGTTTGGATTGCATTCTGAGCGGCATGCCGACAAAGAACGGAGCAGGAAGCACCCAGTGTAGAGACGGAGTGATACAATGGTGAGCCAACAACCTGGTTAGCTCTTCCTTCTCTTGTGGTGTGGAGCTCTTTTACCTTTCTGATTTTTATTTAGTAATTCCTGCTAGTTTTAACGCAGTTACGCCAACGGATTTGTCTGTAGGCCAAGTTCTTAAAAATGTGGTGACATCACTGTTTTCAGTCTCAATAGTGCTGAAATGCATACATATTTTAATCAGCAATTATTTTACTTATACTTATTATAAAGTATATAAAATGCTAGAAAAGGCCGCTACAGTTTGTCAGAAGTCATGAGGTTGTGTCTTGTTTCGTCATCAACAGTCTGAAACTCCAAGGGAATCATATCACTATGTCATAAAACAGAGAAAAGCATTGCTCAAAGATACAGACACTACTGTCCAAAATCAGGGGGTTTGTGCAATGTTCAATTCTAGAGATGCACCGATACTGATATCAGATATCGGTCTGATATGGACTCGCACAGCTTGATAGGATATCGGTGACAATAAGCCGATCTGATAACGGATGCCATTATTTTAATAAATAACAAATCAGTACATTTATATCTATGCATTAAGAAGTTAATACAACAATGTTTAAATCAAGCCTGATGTTGCCTTCATCATCAAAGAATGATCCCAGTCTCTTCCACACAGTGAGGCATACATCTTATTAATTAAACACTGGTATTGGATCGGTACTCCGTATCGGATGATACCAAAAGCCCAGGTATCGCTATCGGGACTGAATTATGGCGAAGAAAATCTTTACTCGAGTTCAACTTATTAGCTCTTATTCCTCAGGAGACGATGCTCCGTTTGACCCAGTGGTAAGATAGAAAGTGAACATCTGTTTGCAGTCAAAAATACATTTTCACACCCAATATGAATTCTTTTTAACGTGGATTTTCTTTCTGAAGCCAAATCAAACACAGTTATAGAAAACAATATGGAGCAAGCCAATGTCACTTTCCATTTCACTAGAAACCGAGACGACTTGTCTTCCACAACCTCACGAGTCATGAGTTTTAGATCTTTCAGAGTCGGATAGAATCTCTTCTGATGAATCTTCTGACTGACAGCTGCTTGAAACCCCCATGTTCACCCTCACACTGTAGCTTGTGAAGGTCTATGAGCCTGCGAAAATAATGAGGTTTCTGACTCATTTGATTTTTATTTGCTTTCTAATGAGCACAAATGAGGTTGCATCTTAACGTGAAGCGTGGACCCGCTGTGCACAGCTCGCACTCGCACCCCTTTGGTCCACAGTGTCCTCTTACATTGATAAGTGAGGCTTTTAAAGCAAAGCTCCCCCGACGAGAACAAAAGGCTTTCTTTTGATCCCTATAATTAGAGGCCAGCCTGAATCTTATCTACGCCTCGGCATAACAAGAGCTAATCATATGAAGGGCTCACACTCTGCTCGTTAAACTCCATTCAAGGATACAGCCATCTTTGATTGCTGAATATGCTCGCTTTTTTCTTCTTCTTTTTTATGAGCTAGGGGTTAACTTCCGAATGAAGTCTTAACGGTGGGGGCTGTCTGAGAATGCTCGAGGATAACGGGGGTGCTCGAGGGAGATCAGGTGAGGAAAAAGGAGGCAAGCCGTGCGGTGCTGAGTCACACTCACCCACAATTCATAGGAGAGCAGAGTCCCATGAGTCTGTGGGGGAATGCCGCATGTTGAATAGGTGAGAGGGATGGAAATGGTACAGCAGAGGAGATTTGACAGCACAAGAAGGTTATAAGCAGTAACAAGAACATGCACACACACACACACACACACACACACACACACACACACACAGTTCACATACAACACCAATGGAAAGTCCTTTTATTCCAGTACAAAAATGTACTTTCATTTAATGATACGTCATACTTGTACTCCACTGCATTCCAAGGGTGGATATCATATAATTTGCTTTACAAATGGATTAGCAATAATACGCAGTAATAAAAGTAACACTCTCAAAGGGTTCATTCTCCGTTATGAGCACTTACAATTTTGATATTTGAGTATATTTTTTTGGTAATACTTGTGAACTTTTATTTAATGCTGGCCTTCTGAATACTTTTTCAACCACTGACACATACACACACACACACACACAACAAACAAACGGGACCTCATCAGAGTCCATCTGATGAGGTCTGTCTATGAGTGTAAAAACTGATGAAAGAGCATATATATATATATATATATATATATATATTTTTTTTTTTTAAATGTATATCCCATGTATTGCGCAATATTGAATGTGATCCTTTATAGCATTTTCTGCCATAAATAATATTAAACGAATCAAATAGAGACTACAAGGGATGGACACTATAAAAATAACAGCTGTACAATGCAATCCAGTACAATAATCATCCAGCTAGGAGAGCTTTTTCTGAAGGTTATTATGTTCAGTTTTTGCTCTGACTTTTTTTCAGAGCGCTGTTGATTCATTTTTCAAGGCTCTACTTTGCGGTGGAGTTGCACCGGATTGCGTTATATTGTGAAATGCATCTAATATTTTGCCTCTCCTTTGATCTGCTATGAACAAAAAGGTAGTATTAGTTGCAGTGTTTGTTCTAGTTATTGTGAGCAGACCATGTGGCCATGTCAGGGGCCAAACATTAATCGATCTCAGCCAAAACAACAGTGCAAACAGTTCTGTACTGAGTCTCCTTCGAGAGGCTTCAAAAGAGCACAATTCAAGTGAGTTCCAGGCAAAAGCAAAAGAAACCAGCTTCATCAATCTAATACGTGACAATTTATTAAAAGCAGGAATTCCATCGTACTCGGCATCAAACTGGCGGGCAACTAAGTGCCTGCTTATGACATGTGTGGCAGCACGGAATACATTATTGAATGAAACGCATTAGTTGTGTGCTTTTAACATGACAGGCGAAACTGGCTACATTTACTTTACTTGTTTTTAACTTTTAATCTACACCTGATTTATAATTCCCCTTTTCAATTTCTCCATCTGCGTTGTGCTGGCGTGAGCATATTTTGCATTCTGCACTGGACACCGTGCCAGTCGAAGACCTGAGATTCTTTCAAGTGTTTGAGGTGAGAGCTGCAGAGGGACAAAGACAGAGCATTGTGTCTTGTTACAGCGCAGAGCGAGAGGGAGGTAGGACGAGGCCAGTTTTGTGCTGCCTGACTTTGGGGAAATTGTATTCAAAGCAGATACTTGAAGGGTCATTAGCTGTGGGTTTTGATTGGGCGCACTAGTCAGAGGACGCGTTGAATTATAAATGCGACCGGCGCGAAAACTACAGGACAGGGTTGTTGAAATATTTGAGTTCATGTATAATCTATGCTGAAAGTATATTGTGGGGAGTTTTTTATTCCTGTTTTCATGTATAGATACTGTGCTCCCATTTGACATCTCAGCGTATGCAAATGATGTAATCAGCAAATGCTGCAGTGGTATAAGAATGCCTGTGTTCACTTTAATTTTCCTCCTCCGTCTCTAAAGCTAAAATAAGTTTTCTGTTTTGCATTCAAAGACTGCAGAGTCACAGCTGTAGTAATACAGCCCGGCAAACCCTGTGTGATTTAATGTTCCTGATCCACGTAGATGAGATTTACTTTGCAATGGTTAAACTCTAAAAGCTACCGTATTGATGCCTAGTTGACAGACAGTACACTTTACCCCCTTCATCAGAGGTCCGAGCACTTTGGGCAAGTACATTAGTTAAATGGTTCAGGTTGTGATTTAAGGCCTTTCTCCTAAAAGTGAATTTGTCAGAGTAGATTAACAAAATAAATGGCATACTGATGCATTAACTTTCCGTCTGAGCAATACGGTAATGAAACCGTTTTTGTTTTTTTGGCCAGCAGAAACACACGAACATGACATTGACATATCATCAACCATTTAAGTTGCTGACAGTTGCTTATTTACACATCCAGCAGTTACGGAGCAACAGTGCTATTCATTTGGGTTCACGTTTGTGTCCACCTGGTGAATGTAAGTCCAACATGTACTCTCTCTCTCTTAGTCTCTTTAGTCTCTGTTTTTGGTCTCTACCAACAGCTGAAGGAAGTATCTGGTACTTCAGCTGCTAAATGCTTCATTATGTTCACCGGCTAGTTATGGGAGCAGTGAGACTGAACCAAAACACTAATGTAGCAGCCAGACAGCTGAACAATGAGCTAAAATTTAATATTAAACCACATGAAGCCGAGATCTTCAGTGATAATTCTCTGTAGGTTCATCACTACGAGCAGCCCCTTTTCACATTATCATTTCATGCAGTTTTATAACAGAATATTATTGATTATAGCTGCTTACAATTACAAAAAGTAGTAGGAAATAGATGTGTGGAACTTAAACGGCAAAAAATATAAAATGACTTAACTAATTATGAATTTATCTTAATATTTCTATTGGTGGCAGTATTATCTTGAAAGTATTAATAGTAATGTTTTGAAATACAGAAGTGAATGTAAATGCAGATGAGTGCAAAATGTGACACAAATGCAGCTCTAAGAAAGTCATATAAGATCTCATTTTGCGCTGTTATGAACGTCTAACATATATGATAAGATATATGAGATATAGAGTGAAAAATATATTAGTATTTAATTATAAACTCTGATTTCAATTAGGTTTAAGCCCAGGTTTTACCACTGAACTGACACTGAACCTTGCTTTTGTCCATCCCTGATGCTGAAAACACAAAAGACTGATTTCCTCATTTAATATATTGGACAAGTAAAGATGCGTGTCATCTGCAAAGCAATCAAAATTGACACTGTTACTGGGGATTATGTCCACCAGAGGAAGAATATGTAACGAGGAAAGAACGTGGCTCGTTATCTTGCTTCCAGTCTTCTTTCTGACGGTCTCTACTCCCTAAGCAGCCAAACCTTTTTTTTCTTTTACCCTCTGCCAGCTGCAGTCAGTTGGCATACAGATGAGATCCTCACTCCTCCAAAAACTCCTGCCAGACTTGAACACAGACGTGTGCCTTTGATCTCAGTCTAGACATGAAATACTTATGTTTTCCTCAAAGGGTTCAAACTCATGCTCGGGGCTTTGAATGTTACGATATCTTGTTGGGATACACTGGCCCTTTTTTTTTGGTGTGCTCACCTCACATTGCAAGACTGCGAATCTTTGTTGAGCTTGTGGAACCAGGACTGCTGGGCCTGGCGGCATTCTGCTCTTGTGATCACGCCGTCTTCATCCAGGTCCAGACCCAGGAACACTGACCGGGCGTTGTTTCTCTCCTTGGCAGTCAACAGGCGCACCATTGAGTTCTAGAAAAACAAACAAATCCAAACAGTGTTTGAGATTATGTAGTTTTGATATTACCATATTAATCCCCTTCCCCTTTTACGCTGCTGTAATTTAGGAACCTGGAAAAGGTTTTTTAGTTCCGACATCTTTGGCCTTAATCCCATCAATCACATTAGCACTGTCTGACATATTCTGCTGGCGCCGATGTTCCCCATGCTACCCCCAGAGTCAAGCCAAAGCACGAATTTGAAACTGTTGTGAAGTAAAATTAATTATTATTCAGGGAGGTGGATGCAAGCCAACTTCTATGTAGCATTTGCCTCGGAGTCTTACGATCAAACTAACCTCAACATAAAGTAGTCTTTGACCTGTGTTTGACCTGTCTTTGACCTGCATTCTCTGCAAGGCTGATTAGCAAATATTTATTCAGTTTTTTGCTGATCTCTGCCACAGCAACCGAAAGAAAGTCTCTTTTTGAAGAGCGAGACGAGGTAAACCTTCTCATCCCTCCGTTGCTCTGCATTATGGTGTGAATGAAAGAATATAAACACAGTGAGCTTGAGTCACATCATGGCGAAGTAGAATTCTGCGCTCTGATTGGTTGGAAGGTGTGGATTAATTTGGGAGAGAGGAGCAGAGAGAAAATGCAACTGTGTGTGTGTGTGTGTGTGTGTGAGAGAGAGAGAGAGTTACATAACGTTGTCTCTGCTGGAAAGACGGTTTTAAGCATTATTCTCTTTTTCTTGTCGGTTCACTATGGTCACGATTTGAGAATGTCTTACTCCCGGCAAAGCCTAGTGAACCTTTTCCTGTTTTACTTGATGTCGCCTAGCAAAACAAACGCCATATATCCTGGGGCTCAGGAATTATATTTCATGATTTAAAAAAGAACAGCTGAGAAAAAGATTGTTGAGTAATTAAACAAACAAATAAAAATGATGATTTGATTACCTATGGCCTTTTGTCAGCAAGTAGTAGGAGCAGGATAGTTTGCACGTTCCATGATTGTAATGGTGAGGATAATACTTTATGTCAGGTGGTTTGGGGGATTTTCAGGGCGTCATCGGATGCTGTGGTGAAATCAGGGAGTGTATAAGTTCTGTTATAATTACTAGTGGAGAGCCTGTTTGGAGCGTGGCCATTTGGAGCCCATGCCTGCTCGGAAGGAGCCGATTGTTTGGTTGTATTATATGTTGCATCAAAAAGCAAAAATGCACTACAATCAATGAGCTGCGGAAGACATGCTCGACTCAGTCCTTAAAGGCAGAGATGTAAACCTTTTGTAAAACACTAAGTTAAGTATGAGGTAAAGTGTCTTAGTTATGAGCTCAGAGTCTCAGGCCGGTGGTATGAAGCTGTTCCTGAGCCTGGTGGTACTGAAAAGCCAAGTATGAAATAGATCACACACACACACACACACACACACACACACACACACGTACAGACAGAGATTCCTTGCTTTACAGTTAGATGTTTTGAATATATGCAACTTGTTTCCTCTTCTTAATACTTTACCTCTGAGCGAAACTTCCGCAACACTGTCAGAGACTCGAAGTAAAGGAAGTCGAACCATTCGACATGACCCTTCTTCTCTGGATCCAGCGCTGCGAACTGGGCGAGGACTTCCTCCTCCTGCTCATCAGTCAGGTCCTTATCGAACAGCTGCTTGGATGCATAGTGGCGGTACTGCAGCAGCTCGTCTGACACCAGGCACGACTCTGCAGCGGCAAGGGAACAATGCATCACATATCAGACCTGATTAGTCAACGAGCAGTCTTCCAGATGCAATTAACCTATCGAGACTCGCTCTCCGCAAAGGCAGGACCACCTCCTACTGTTTTACCTCCATCTAAGCTGAGGAATGATACCACGCATTCGGAAAATAGACTTAGGGAGATGAGGACAGATAATGTAATAACTCTGACAATCAAGGAAAGAATAGAGTGTATACAGTACACAATGTGTCTTATGTCGTTGTCATTTATGCATGCAAAAGAGGCAGTACTGGTAGCCGTCTCAGATTATGGTGACTTGTTTATTTTAACATTGTTTTAACCAGGAAGTGCCTTGAGATTAAAATCTATTTTCGTGTGTGTGACTGACACTGTGCTTTTTCCAGTTGATCAAAACAAATTGTACTTTTTTTATTTCATTTTTTCATATAATATATGACGTAATATTATTTTTAGCCTGACTTGTTGAATTGGGGGTTATTCCTCAAAACTTTAGCGAAACGATATTGGTCAATTTGACATTTCATGTCTGTTGTGCGTAGAGCCGACCTGTTCTCACTCCCAATGCGCCAAACACTGCGGCTTGGTCAGTGATCCTCGGCGTCTGACACTGATGCACGGAAGCAGCGTTTAACAGCGTTTAGCACCAGAATGTGACTCGCTGGGCGTCAGTCACGGGAGTCGCTTGTCAGTCAAGTTAACATCAACCACGCTCTTTTCCTAAATCTAACTAAGTGGTTTTGTTGCCTAAAAGTAACTTCCTACGTAAATGGAAATTTATTTTGAAAAGACACCATGCGTGAAACGAGGGTATAATTTCCCTTTCCACGCCTCTTTCCCTTTCCACGTCCAAAAGAGGGATACATCAAAGCTTGGCGCTTAGGAGCACTGAGCATGCGTCGCTATTTGACGCATTGGGGTGAGAATGTGTCGGTGGAGGATGGCCGTTTCGGCGCGGCGCTGTCCGTAGTGCTGAAACTAAAAGGATGGAGATCGATAGACAGACAGCCACGAGTTTCTTATTTCGGTTTCTTAGCCTGCTTGTTTTTCGTGGTTGCAAAGAGTGAGAGAGAGCCAGAGAGCTGCAAGCTGCAAACAGCTTTTTTTCTACCCCATGCGGATTTGAGAGAGGATCGTTCATGAGGTCAAACAATATTTAGCACTCTGCTAATGCTACATTCTTATAGAAGTGCTTTGACTAATAAATATGTCCTTTGATTTAGAAACAGTAGCCACATGTGGTTATCTAACATTTTTGACTTCTATTTTATGAAAGAAATTACCCCAGGCAATTTCTAACAGCCCCCTCCCCAACTAGGCCTATGGAAATATAAAAACAGGACTAACAGTCGACAACAAAATTATTCCCTGACTGCCAAACGAGATGGACAGTATCACCACTTCCTCCTGCCACACTTGAACTGTATGTATAAATGTATGAAATGTATAATATATTTTGCACCCTTGATTTGCTCACTCACCAGGGATGATCTTGCACTGCTTGAAGGTCTCCATGAGGCTGTACATCTCTTCCTCTGTCAGCAGTAGATTTAGATTATCCTGCAGAGGAGGGTGAGAGGAGGGCAGAAAATTACACTTGTAAAAAAAAAAAAGAAGAAAAAAATGATAGTCTGCTCTAATTACATAGGCTTAGTCCCAGATGGGCCTCCTGTAATTAGCCACAAGGCTACCTTTTGATTGACAGGTCGCTAACACAGCGTTGTCCGGTCTGGGAGTTGTCCGTGTTTCCGTCTTAGAACTTTAACCCTTTCACAGTGTGTTTTCACTTCACGAGAGTTAATTGTAACATTTTGATCGTCTAAAAAAATTTCTGATTTCGGTTGTACTTCAGTAATTACTGTACTGCAGTAATTCAGGCAAAAGGAGCCCCAACTAAGTATTGAGTGCTGTACATGCTCATACTTTTCATGTTCATACTTTTCAGTTGGCCAAGATTTCTAAAAATCCTTTCTTTGTATTGGTCTTAAGTAATATTCTAATTTTCTGAGATACTGAATTTGGGATTTTCCTTAGTTGTCAGTTATAATCATCAAAATTAAAAGAAATAAACATTTGAAATATATCAGTCTGTGTGTAATGAATGAATATAATAGACAAGTTTCACTTTTTGAATGGAATTAGTGAAATAAATCAACTTTTTGATGATATTCTAATTATATGACCAGCACCTGTATACAGTCTGTGACCATGAGGCTTTGAATTTCACAAACTCTCATATGATGAAAAAAATATATATTTTTGATTGAATATGCCTTGCTAATGTTTTCAGATATCGTGTTTTTATCTTTTTCAACAGCAAAGGGCAGTGTTGTAAATATCAGCATCAGCTCATTTATAAACAAAACACATATGAATTATATATGTAAGTATATCAAAATGTTATGTGGCCAAAAATGAACTAATCGGGCATTTAATCAGAGTTATGGAAAATGAACACAGTGAAAGATGCGTGTGATGTAGACATTTCCTCCCAGACACCAGCAAATCCACAGGCAAGGCAAATCACAGGAGACACTGATTTATATCTGAATATTATTTGAACATTATTAATCAGATAAGTGGCGTGATGAAACTTTGATGATCCTTTTGGGATTACTGAGGGAAGTCAATTCCAGTGTGTTTACCTCGGCCTTAATCACCGTTACAATCTGCCAGGGTTTCACAATAACCACAAATCTAAATGAAAATGTGTCACCGGCCACCCTTTAAACACAAATGAAAAATACACCCTCAAGCTAATAACAGCAAAAATCAATAAAGGAGATGGCAGATTTGGATAAAACACAGATATGTCAATGCGAACCAGCAATTATTCGACACGGTAAAATAACAGCGAATACAAATCAAATCAGATGAGAATTTCAGCGAGCTGATTAAAACACCACTCAATGTGGTAACTTGCCCTCGCCCACACACTGCCCCTCACCAAACGCCCCCCTCTTTCCCCCCTCTTTTCCGGCAAACCGTGTTGCAAACATGGCCTCATTATACGAGCCAAGAGACGAGCAACAGGCTGCGTGACGTCCTCCTGCATTTCCTCAACATGTCATCAAGAGCACATTAGCTGCCAACACCTCGCTGCCCCGCTGTCTGCAACGTTTACAGATCGAGAGTGTGTGTGTGTGTGTACTGTACGTGTCTCTAATTATTCATATATTTATTTATTTATACCGCCTTCGATACTAGCCAGTCCTCCCTGCTTATGTCTGGCTGCTGCGAGTGGGTGGTGCTGCTTAACTAACATGATGTTTTGATGGATGTGGGAATCACATGGAAAAAAAACTCAATCACATATAATTGTCCTTTCCTTCCTTTATTAGTTTATTAATTTGTGCACCCGATAAAGAAGGATTAAATTACACATATCCGCCCCTAATGGCCATTCCAAAGTCAAGGAAAAGTAAAACACTGAATCAAAATAACAGGCTCACATAGTGTCTGCCACACAAAAAGTGTACGGATGCAGTCGTGGATGCCGCGTCCTCGTTAGCATGTTGCTATGTATCATTTGAACAGAATGGAACTGTTAGTTTAAAGTGTCGAAGCTGACTGAGAGCTAACAGAGGGCTGTTGTTTTCACACTGGAAGAAAAGACCCTCTGGGCTTTCTTCCCCATTGGTTTGTGCTCATTCTCTCGTGGCTGCTCTCTGCAGTTTGGCAGGTTTTTTCTACAATCACCCAAGCCATTCAAAAGCCCAACACAGATACTGTCATGGAGACCACCGAGCCCTGAAGTGGATTCACTCAATGCAGCATCAGAATGCCATACCCTTGGGTGGTTTCTAGTCCTCCAGCCGTATCAATTCAAAGGGGCCTATTTTCTCCTCTCCCAATATGTAATTTACTTTACTGAGCTGTGATCTTGTTGATGTTTGAGGAATGCACAATCACTTGTGTTTCGTCTCTCTGCTCACACAGGGTTTCCGTAAGGGGACTCTAATTCCCTGACCTACCTTGCCCTTAAAGAAGAAAAGCATTAAAATGTCTTTGTGGGCAAAGGTTCCTGCTGTAATGTTAATCCATTCCAAAAAAGTGAATGTTGACTTGTTTCTCAACTCCACAAACAATACGTGTGCTTTGATTTAGCCTCTTGAGAAGGTACATTTGATTGATATAGTTTGTCAAAGTGCACTTGACTCCCAATTGCCTCTAAACTGAAGTTTGCCACCTGTGATAAAGTGGCACTCATTCCAGATATCCTCCATGATTGGACACAGACAGCAGGTGACAGGGTAATAAAAGGTGCTGGAATATATCAAACTGGTTGGTCTGTCTTTCACTCTCCAGGAAAACAGAGGGAGGCCAGTGTTTTGTGTCCAGAAAGGATTGTGATCAACCTACTGAAACTCACACTGCCAACTATTCTCAAGTACAACAGATACATTTTAAGATATAACAGCCATTTACGAAATAGAGATATGGCAAGTGAAAGAGAGCTCTAGCACTATAGATGACAATGTCTTCAAACCATTTGTGTGTCAGAGCCAAATGTTTCTCGCTGTCATTTTTGCGGGCAATGTATCTTGAAAATAATAGCATTGAAACAGTTATGCGTTTTTCAACTCAAATGTGCAGTATTCTTCATTGCTCTTTATTCCGATCAACATTAGCTTCCACAGAGTGGTCCACAAAAAAATGACAAAAAGAAAAATTTTGATGAAACGGTGTTAATAAAACAATAAAAGACAAGCCAACAAGCCAAATGTAAGTTTCGGAAAATTACGTTAAATGGCTCTAGTTATGAAACATTTAACAATGATGGCCTACAATGGCAACAAAAACAACATTTTAAACTATCGGGTAAGATTCCAAAATAACAATAACCAAAATAGCATAACTCTTTGAAAGAAAAAGGGTTCTAAGATGAAAACATGAACCACTGCAAGATTAGACAACGCCGCAATAGAGACCTGTCAATCACAAGGTAGCACTGCCCTAAAGCATCCCCTGCTTTATGGTCTGTTTGACTCTAAATGGACCACAACTTACTAAAAGAAGACTTGAAACTAGAGATTGAGACCATAAACTCATGTTTACAATGTTTTACTGAGGTAATAAATCAAGTGAGAACTGGAGTAATTTTCTCATAGACTTCTATACAATCAGACTTCTATTTGTAACCAGAGGAGTCGCCCCCTGATGGCCAGTAGAGAGAATGCAAGATTAAGGCACTTCTTAGCCATGTGGATGGTGTATCATATTCAAAACAATGTGCCCTATCCCTCTGCATTACCGCTCTTATCTAGCCTATCATTGTTTCATTTTTTTATCGTGTTTCTTATTATTATATTTATTACAGTGCTCTGTGTGCAACATTTTATTAATCTTCTGATTAAACTAAAATCCCCACAAGAATTCATAAAGTATAAATAATCCGTTTATCTGTATGTGTATGTAACTCTAAAAAATTTGATGAAAATCAATAAAGAACAAAACAAATTGATCATGCTGTCATCAGGAAACCGCTTCCTTTGTTTGTTCCATGCCAGATACTGTTTCTAATCTGCAATGTTATTATGCTCATAAATTACATGCTATAATGCTTTTATTACATTTTTTTAAGTCTCTGATTTCCATCTAAACTTTTATTTAAAAAAGAGACGCATTAACAGTGATTTAAGGCTTTGTGCAACACCTACTGACAGCATCTGGAAAAAGGACACAAAAGGCCCCATGGAGGGGAGAGAAAGTATAATAATAGCAACACATTCTAATCTTAAACTGGCAGCTTGCATAAATAGTTATATCAGACGGTCCTGTTCAGAAAAAATGACAGCATTGATTGTGTTTCAAACAGCTTTGAATAGGCTCAGTGCCAGAGCAGGAAGTTGAAAAAAAAATTATTCTTATTGATTTCAAAGCTGCGAGAATCAGTATTTCTGTGTGAACAATGAATCAGATCATAAAATAACCCTGCAGTTCCCCTCATGCATGTGGATCCTTTAAGTCACTTTTAGCTCATTGTTGAGCAAACTATGCCCGACCTCATTTTCAGCTGCACATTTTTAGTGGAAAAAGCTCTGGCAAACCTGCATACTAGCTAAAAACAAAGCTATTTCATCATGCTTATCTCGCTCCATGCCGCATACACCTCCAGCATGCCTGCTGTACGAATGCACTCTTTACTTTGACTGAAGTGTGACCCCTCCAGGATCTTGGCCCTCAGGATCACTTGTGAGCTGGCAGCAAGCATGAAAAGGTAATCGGTGCTATTAAGAAGGGTCAGCTCATTCACGAAGCCTTCCTCCGTCTGATTGGCTGACATGCAGCAGTCTGCTGTGAAGGCTGACTGTAACTCCACTTTCAAGGAAACTCCATCCACCCACAGCAGTCTCCAGTGCTATGTGTGAAATTAAATGGCGATGCGATGGAAGGAAAGGGAGTGGGGGATTTGTAACAGCTGACTGACATATGCAGATGTATGCTATGACGGCTGGAATTCACAATTTGAATAAACCGGTTCTCTCTGTCTTTCCCTTGCTGAATTGTCCCCTTCCGCCCCCCCCCGTTCCTCGCACGCCGAAGGAGCCAGCCAAAGAAAGAGGACCTTTTCGCTGTCCTCTCACTGATTGTGTGAAAACGTCCCCCCTATAAACACAACTTTGGCAAGGGATTTCGCTTTCCATGGGCTGGCGAGAGACTGCGAAAGCCCCCACTCCACTCTAAAGGGTCCTCCAGTGAAAGCGGGGCTTCAGCTGTTTGCTCTCGAATCAAAGCAGATTACATTGTGCCTCTCGACGACCACCAGAGAGTCATCGGTTTTGGCATTGGATTTAAATTCCCGACTGGACGCTGAAGTTAGTTTTATTGTTTGAAAAAGAAAACTCTTTATCTGACCTCCAGTTTAATTAGTATCCCAATAAAAACATGACAGCATTCTTATTGTAGCTGCTTTGTGGCTTTGTATAGCAGTAGCTGCTGCCATACAAAGCCACGTCAAAGAGCTCACCGTGCTGAAGAACATAGTTAGCCTATATAATGGGCCGTATAATGTTATATAACGCGTCGAATTACTCAGCCTGGTCGGTGGATTATTAACATGCCGTCACTGACACTTGCAAAACTGACTAGACTAGAGGAATACGTGGAGCGACATAGTTTAAAGCTTAGGAGCATTGAACAAGCTGCGTTATTTGACACATTGAGGTGAGAGTGTGTCGTTTGATACATTACTTCACACAGACTTTGGAACATGCTCACACATTTTAAAAGAAAAAATGAATTAAGGCAGCAACTGTTTATTTCACCAGCTGCTACGACAAGTGTTGCCGGCAAATGTACTCAGCTGTAGCTAATTAATGTCGCCAACTGTCACTGACGCTCGGAGGAAACAATCTTTAATGATAAAAGTCGCACCTGTGATTTTCCCGCCGTGACATTATAAAATGCTATGAAGTCATTTTTATTGTATGTTGTATCGTTGATTGGCGCTCCACATTAAAGCTCTGGCAGCAGCAGTCACTCTGTAGAGCTAACGTTAGCTCATGCAGCTACAGCATAGAGCTGTTTAACATTAGGTGTCGTCAGTCAGATGTTCAGACTTTGTCAGATGGGATGTAACAGCAGTTTGTGCTTGTTATCATAACTGGCTAACAAGCCTGTATCAATAAATGGAATACCACTTCTGAATGTCATGATCAATCTTAGTAAATTCACTTAGGAGTTGACTTTCCTCTAATTAACTGATCTAAGATAAGAGCCCTAGGATGACTTCTAGAAAATGTTGTCTTATCTGATTCTACTCTTGTATTATGTTTCTATATATTGTGTATAATGCCATGTATATCACAAACATAGCCCTCTAGATTAAGTTGTAGAAAATAATTAGATATCTTCATCAAACTGTTCAGCCGTTTCAGAAGATTAACGTCATCATTTTTTATCATGAAATGTTTTGGTTTTTTTCTATTTTTTTTTATTCAGGTTTATATTTTGAATTTGTATATTTGGGCTCACCTTAACATTCTTAAAGTGAGTTGACGCAATAAACCTTGTTAGCCTTCATCCTGTTCATGATACTAAATGTTTTTGCTGTAGCAACAGCAACAGGAAGCTATAATAACACCCAGCAAGGTTATCTTGCGTGAGAAATGGGATGAAATAGTGACCACAATGAGAACAGCAAAATCTAGAAAATAGAGGAAAAACGACTCCAGAACAAAAGAAGACCAGAGGAACAAATGTAAACCCTAGAACCGACACAATGTATATTTTGGTGTACCTCCATGCATCTGCAGTTCTTAAAACTGCATTGTTTGTTGTCCAGCAAGTGACCGTGAGCTGCGCAGACTTACACAATAGTAGCAGCTCCAGCCAGTAACAGTGTGGGCCGTGTCTCTCATCTCCTGCAGGGCCTCGGCTCGCAGGTAGCCCAGTTCCCTCAGGCATCCATCGTGGAACATCCGAGTGCAGATCCTGCAGGGGTACAGGTCGTCGGCAGTCCACACCTCACACACGTCGCACATCTCATCGTTCGGCGGCTGAGGTAAAGAAAAAAAAAATGAAGACAGATTGCGTCAATGACCGAAAGATTTTTGTTGCAAACTTGATCTATGATCTCAATTTGGCAGACATGAGGATTGCAAACACACGAACACGCACTGCCCTATAAAGGCTCAGAATAAGAGAGCTGGGTGGAAAGATTAGGCATTAGTCCATCAGTGGTGGGAGTGTGGTTTCAAATGTACTAGCAGTTTGCGTTCTTTGCTCACGATCTTCGATAGATTATTAAGACCGCACTGCCTTACATGGAAAGGAAAACTGTGTCTTTGACAAACGTGTTCATTGTCAGTTAATCTCCAACCTCACTGTGGGCTCCATTTACAGCCGGGATGAACCCAGCTGTCAAGCCAGGGGAAATGACTGCAGAATGCTTGACTGGTTAACCACGCTGAGACATTGTCAGAGAGTTTCCACACTTGTTCTTTTTTATCTCTACTTCAGCGTCTCGGCATCAGCTTCACGCCCACAGACACATCACAGATGAGACCTGGTCAAACCTCCTCAGTCACAACCTATCTTCTATAGTTATGGCCCAACTCTTGTGACCTGATGACTCCATCTGCATCAACAAGCTCCCTGCATTATAGTCCATGTCAAAATGAGATCTGGGCTGCCACCAGGGACAACAAATGGATAATAAGCTCATTCATCAATGTCAAAGATGGAGAACTTTATCTAAAAATCGAGACTTACAATTAAAGTGGCCCTACAAGCAATCAATTTTCATTTTGCCACACAGTACTATATATGTTGGATGTATCAAACCACACCCTGGCTTTAGCTGCTCATAAAGTTAGTGGGGCATAGACAGAATACATTCTTGTTCTAAAGATTGTGCTGAAGGAAAGGCCATGGAGGTCCATAAATTCCAAAGGCTTCCTCCCTTTGGGAACGTAATTGTGCTCAGCAACTTTCCTTGCAGTCAGCCTGTTAAGTGGGAGGTGCCGTGTGTGCACTGTTGATCTTTTAACCTGAGGGTGGTAATAGATTATAGCTCATTGAGTGTCAAAAGGGGAAACGATTCAGCCCTTTGAAAGCAAACATGAGCTCTGAACTGTTATAGCTAGCTTAGCTTTTGATATCACCTGCATACAATAGAAAAAAATGCTCAAGGGACAACATGTTAAACAGCAAACAATAAAATAAACGGTAATGGATCCACCTGTAAAAAGGTATTAATATGGGCCACATTAAATAGGAACACAATAAAATCCACTACAATAAAGTAAAAGAGTCAACTTAACTCAACCCAGGATAATGTAAGGATTTCAGAATTGTGTGTGTTTAATGTTAATGTGGGGAATTAGTTCTTTTTGACTTTGAAGCACTCTGACGTACAACTGAGTGTCATTAGCATAACACTGAAAAGTGAACACTATGTCACTGGATAGCATGAGGAAGGAAGGTTAGATGAGAATAAAATGGCTCCCAAATGGCTCCCAAAATCTAACCTGACATGAGAAAATAAGGAGGCAATTACTAATGGGGAGACAGAACTTTGAATGTGACGGATGAAAGGAAAAAGGAAAACCAATTTACTGCCATATGAGCCTGGCAAAACCATGCCAGAATATTGCTTTACTCGTGGTCTAGATACCATTTGCGTTCAGTTTCAGCCTTTCAAATTTCCCGAGTACATTACTACTGCAAGGTAGACCCTTTCATTTCGGCACCTCTTGTTAAAGTGCAGCATCGGCAGTACAGCAAGTTACCAGGCCATGTTTACTCTTTGCAAAATAGAAAAACCTGATGGTGTCAGTGAACCTGTGAACTTCATCCCCCTGTTAGTCAGCATCGCCCTGGATATGGTCACGTCTCTGAGCCACAGCCGAAGCAGCCTGCCCACGAGAGGCCTGCTGTGAAGAGCTCTCACACACAACAATAACACATCTCATCGCTATGGTGGCAATAAAAAGCCTGGCAGAAAAAAACTAACTTTTTACTAATACTTTCTCACCTTCAACAAGGGTGTTTAGATAAAGTTAAGAGTCGTTTGACGCCTGGCTGAACTGCTTCATCATAATGCCTAACTTGGGGGAGGAAAAGAGATAATGTGCTGCTGTTGCCATGGAAATTCTTTGACATCTTGCAGACATCGATTTTTAATCCCAGGACCTGGACCTGTGTGTGTGCTTTGTCAAAGTAAAGGGTTATTGTTTTTGTTATAGTCCTGATTTCAATAACACCTTGGCCATGAATTGCACTGCTCTATGTAGGCCTTCATTTCATACCTGCTCTTTCTTTTTCAGCTCCACCTCTACAGGCTGGTCGTCATCGGCTTCCCTTTTGGGCCGCACGAAAGCGGGCGGCGTGAGCTGATGGCTCTTATCAAGATCTTCAGGCTCCACCCCTTTCCCATCACGCAACCTCGACCAAGACTCCTGGTTGACCTTACACTCGTCCCTCGCTGGCGCCGAAGTCGACGGGCCTGCGTTATTGTCCGTTTCCTCCTTCTCCGCTTCCCCTGCGTTCTTCTCGTCAGGAGTGGCTGAGGATTCGGCAGGGCCATCGCCCTCCTCGGCTTCTCCGTCTGCTTGTTTGGCTGGAGCTGGACGCTCCCTAATGCCCGCCTGGAAGGCGTTGACGACGGCGTTGCATTTCTGCACCTTCTCCACCTGCTGCTTCTTTGACATGAGCACTCCCATGGCTACAGACGGATGGAGAGAGAGAGACAAAGAGAGAACAGTTACACAGGTACACTGCATTTACAAGTCATCACAACAGTGACGTACAACAGTATAGTTATTACCCAAGGTTAAAGCCCCAAATTTCATTTTTTCATGAATATTTAACAAATATACATGACTAAAAAAGCACCATTGAAAGGTTAACTCCCAAAAAAGTAAGCTAGTAGCAATCATCAGGACCAACCCTGTCTCCATACAACTAAACTGAATTCTTAATTACGTTTCCAGGGAAACATATTTATGGTTTACAGATTAATGTTGTTTTAATGTGGTTGGCATTGTATATTGAGACAAAACAAAAATTCAACAAAACTTCTTGGTTAGGTTTCATAAGAACATCATGGTTTGGCTCAAGCTAAGTTTGTTTTTTACGTTATTTAAGTTTCTGACATAAATTAAAATAAGTCAACATTTACTTTTAGTTTCAAACGGGATACAAACTGCTGTCTCCTGGGTGAAAGTTCTGTGTTTGTTTGATCCATATCCAACCTTACTATCTTTCTACATGGATTTCTGTAGACTATGATTAGAGACGAATTCGTGATTCGTCAAACCAAGATAACCCGGGATAATAAAGTTTCCCTCAAAGCATAATTGACAGCTCAGATTCGTTGTATGGAAATGTAATTTTTAGGAGCCAGGGCTGGCACACAGTAGAAGTTTGCCTTCAGGGCTTTCTGCCAGAAAGGGGTTTATTTCTAACCCATTACATGATCTTTTCCTCAACCTAACCAAGACTTAAAGAGAAGGAGATTTCTGGCAGAAAGCCCTGAAGGCAAGCTTCCCCATGTGCAAACAGGCTGTCAGGACGGTCTGCGTGTTGTTTGATGAGCAACATAGGCAAACAAACCCGCAGCTGTTATCAGATTGTGATTCAAATATTGCTAAATTGCGATTGGTGCATGGAAGTGCGTGACGTCAGTGTTTGCCAATTAAGGTCTGCCTATTTAAATCTAGTAAGCAGAGTGAAAAACACAAATGCAGACCAAATCCCGAAGAAGCTAATTGAGAAAAGAGGTCACCGGAATACACAGTCAAGTACAGAAGAATGCATCCAATAAGGACAAGGTGAGAGCTCGGTGCAGTCAAAGAGATTATCAACCTGTGAAAATATTTACTCTCTTTGCACATCGCATCTTGTCTTTCTCTCTCCGTACTCACTGAACAGCTCGGCCCCTTTCAAATCTCCCAAATCTCTTTGTATCAGCAACAATGTCCCTGAACTCCTCTCCTTATTACTAATAAACCCTGCCCATCTGCTCCTGTTCTCACATTCCTGTGACTCACTGCTAGCATTTCACTGTTCCATACCCATGAAGATGTGGATATTGACTGAGATTAGGTTGTCACTTGAATGATTCAACCGACAAATATAAAGGCGTACACTAAGAAAGTCGGTCCCACAACTCACAGCACACTGTAAAAAACACTGCATCATTTATTTGTACATATTGTACACCAGGTATGAGATTTCAAATCCTAAATAATAGGCAAGTAGGCAACATAGACACCCTGCAAGTGTGTCTATGTTGGCTTCACACACAAAGGTTTTTGTACATATCATCGTGAGTAAGGTATACTGTACATATCAATGCAGAGCATACTTTCCTCTAATGTGTCTGTGGCTCTCTACAACTCACCATGTGAATGATGTCATGCATCTGAAAGACTGTCGGACAATAACCTCAGGTTTTCAAAGGTCATGTGTCCCCATCACTTTGATATGTATCAAGGGTTTCTCTGTCGACAGTAGGTAATCCATTTACAGTATAGGTTAAAATACCACATTAATAGATGCATTATATACATTGTGTAATTCTCCCGACCAGAGGTGTGGACTCGAGTCACAAATTTGATGACTTTAGACTTGACAAAATCAACAATAAATGTGCAACTCAACTTGGGCTGTCTTGGACAAATAAATTCATATCCAGAATAAACTATCGTTTGTGCTATTCATTCCAAACAATCGACACTTAATTCATATAGCCTCCAAGGGAGCTTTGGTTTTACGCTGAGTGAGGCGTTTCCCATCCAATTGCCCAACCATATTTGGGCCATATTTGGACCAAAGGCCATCCTCTTCAACCTGTGGGCCATAAAGAATCCTGCTTTGTGATTGGTAAATTACTTCCTTAATTATGTCAGGAGGCCAGATTTTGCTCCGAGTTCAGAGAATGGGGAGTTAACCTTCAGTGTGTGTGTGCATATGAAATGTGTGCTTCTTTTTTAATGGTCCCACAATGCTCACGCTCAATGCTCATACGCAGCATCAATCACCACAACTTGCTGAGTTCAGCAAGTTGTGATGATATCACTTCTCAATTCTGACTGCTCACCAAATGCAATGAGTCTGGATCTGACAGAGTAAGATAAGATCAACTTTTATCGATCCCAGAGAAGAACATTATCTTCACTTTCTCTGCAGGTTTTCAATGACTTTCTGTTGGTTTAGACTGCTGAGCATCGATTTTGACAATGTTATATTACGGTTATTGTTTCATTTTGGCAATAAAAGAGGGAGGTCTATCAATTTAAAACATATACATGCAATAACCTCTTTTTTATGAGACATCAGTGCATGGCTGTTTTCTTTCCTCATTGTGCTGGAATAAAAACTGCCGACTCTTGCATTTGTAAGGAACTCTCTCTCCCAAATATATTCAAGTTATTGCATAATTTCTGAACAAACACAGGGAAATCATACACTGTAAGATGCAGTACACTGTGCAGCGATGTTGAAAGAAAAAAGAAAAGAAACAAAGAAACTTGACTAAGTTCTCATTTCCACTTAAGTGAGACGCAACTGTGAATTCCATTATTGAAAAACCGGCGCTTCGTGGATTGAAGTTGATTACATGGTACTTATGGTACATGTGTCTTTGCTCTCAAATGCGATCCCATCCATTCACGCTCCACATAAGTGCTTGTGTGAAATTCAATCGCATTTATCTGAAGTGAAATGGGAGTCATTCCCTCTCCCTTCCTCCCAGGCTGAGGCTCTTAATAGCCTCCGTGACCTTGTGTTCTCAGGCTGCTGGTGGACTCCAGGTGCTTCATAAACTGTAGAAGATACAAACACTCATTTGTATTGCACAGACTTCAAAACTGCAATGCACTGGCTCTGGTTTCATCCATTTAAATGATATAGAAAAAACATCTAGGGATAAAAACCGAGACATGACATCACAAACAAAAGAAATCTAAAGCTGCTCGATGTCTTTGTTCTAGTTTGGTTTGTTTTCCTGCAGAGAAAAGAGGCAAAGGGGATGCTTTATTGATTAAATATATCTATTACGGCTGGCATCTCCCCAAAAATGAGGTCAGAGATCGAGTCAGCTGAAGCACAGTTATCCGGCAGCTGCATGGATTTACTAACTGTGTCATCAGACACATTTTTACCATGTTTTGGGTAAGACATTTGTCCACAATGGAAAAAATGACTAAACAAAGTAAACTCCCAAATGCCAACATGCTTTGTAAAATCATTAAAGTGTGTTGTTGATGGACTGTGTTGTGTCACAGCGCAAATAGAAATGGAAAAGGTGGTCAGAGTCAGACAAATGTTGGTGAAAAACCTTCAGTTACAGTGCCAGAGAACAACCAAAAACACACTGGGGGAAAAAAGGTTTTAGAAGATTAATACTGACTGTTAATCCTCGCTCTTCTCTGTAGAAAAAAAAATGGGACTGGCTGTCTTCCTCAAGGACAACCACTTCATTTAAAATGTCAGTCTTGTTAGTAACGAAGATCTCCCGCCATCTAATAAATGACAGCAACGTCCTGAGAATATGCAATGATTAAAAAACATGTATGCATGCCTGTGGGATACTGGATAGCCTGTTATCCTAACTGCAGCAATGACAATCAGCTCAGTGGGTTTAGCATTGACGAGCTTGTGGGCTGTAAGGTTTTGCACCATTATTTTAACGCGGGACTAGTTTGGATTGGTTTTGGCATAACCGGGTAAAGAGAAAATACAGAGATGTTTCATCATAATGCCTATGGTAAAAAGTATCCATCTCCAATAGTATCTCTTTCTGGAAAGTATTGCTTTCTAAACTCTCAGATTAAACCATAATCTTCCAAATGCACATTGTACGGCACCTTTTATGATGCGTTTTTGGCAATTTAGCCTTATTGTTTTAAAATTCCATTTTTGTATTGCTATCTGTATGGCCTTGTCCTTGTACTTGAACACTTAACGTTGTACAGAAGGATGGAATTCACATAATCAAAACCATTGGTTCTTAACCTTATGGTCTGGGCCAAGGGCGCGCAAGATAAATCTGAAGGAATGAGATGATTAACACGATAGGACTTATGGTACAGGCAATTATCTTTATATCTTTTTAATTCATCTCAAATCTTTGCTCATGAAAGGAACGCCGCTCTGTTTGAAGATGGTGGCAGGTACTAGAAAATTCAACTTGTACAAGAAATGAGCCTAAGATGTTAAACTATTTAGGATATGTAAGAGGCATCCACAAATGTCAAGGCAACCCATCCAGCAGCTGTTGAAACATGTCACATTTAAAAACAAAAGTGTCTAATTTATGGTGGTGCTAGAGGTAAAGTCCGGCTATCACCAAAGCCAGACGGATTCATCCTCTGGGAAGCATGAATGTCAGCACATGTCATGGTAATCTATCAGGTACTTTATCAGTCTGGACAGAAGTGGTGGACCGACCTTTCAACTGACCATCAGACTGACATTTCTGTCTCAAGAGCCACTAACATGGTAAAACAAGTGAAGAAAGCACTAGCTTGGAAAAAGTTTCAACCACTTGGATGTATAAAAATGTCTTCCAAAGAGCTCATGCATGCACTGTAAATACAGGTTGTGTGGGTGGTCGCAATACAGGATGACAGACTGATTATCATAGGGCCTTAATTATCCACTGAAGTGACCTTCGCGCTCTGGCTCGGAGCAGCGCTGGCACAGACAGCGACAGCCTCT